ACAAGACGCTGGATAATTATAGTAGCCTCCTAGAGTGGTTTTATCTGCCGGTCATCCAGTATCTTAAAGTAAAACAGTTATCTGCAGTATACTATTCGACTGAATTTTGTTCGATCTGCGTTTGTCCCTTCAAAACATATCAAGTGGTGTATTGGAAGCTACTCAAAAACGCATGCTAGTGCAGACTGTTCTTCAAGGACGTAAGAAAGTGGTTAAAAAGTATAACTGAGTAAATTTGACGCATTGTGCTCTGTAGAAAATTAGATGGCCGAATAATTTAGGCATGCCATTGCTCAGATCAGAGATTAGAATGGTTTCAGAAAATATTGGTCTTGTGCTTCCTGGAATAATTTGACTGAACATTGGGGGCAGGGTATCCCTATGCATGAAGTGCTCGTATGTCTAGAAAATGATTTCAACTCTGCATTACACGATTTTCTTCCTTGTGATGTCTCCAAAACGGGGATGGTCGACCTATCAGTATTATGGGTTAGATACTACTTGGAGGGGTGTGATTTTCACGTGCCAGTAGATCCTAAATGTTCTACAATGAGAGCATCCTCCACTGGTGCATTTCAAAGGATCTATTTTAGGGTGACTAGTACTAATACTTCCGAATAACCTAAGCTCTTATACTAACAATCTGAAGTTGTGTTGGGCTGTGAAACTCAAGGAAGATCCTCCCATGTTTCAGGAAAACCTAATCGCCCTAATCAGTTCAGCCTCAATAAGATGACTTACAATGAATGAAATTAGACGTCAAACAGTGTTTCTCTGCATGCCTCTGGCTCTAAGAGTTCTTTAGAGTTCATTTGGAGCTAATACATCCCATACAGCGATGGATCGTGATCCTGGGCTATTATTGACACAAAAATTTTATATATGCACAAGATATCAAGGGGTGCTGGCCAATTTCACTACGGCTTTCTACCATGTGCTCATTTACACACTGGCTGTTTATTCAACTTTTTTAAACAGTCACCTGAACACACCTTGGATTTCATAACGTTCCGGAATCGCGATCCCTAAAGAGATATGCTAGTTTCCTAGAAATACTCGAGAAAATGAAGGTTCGATACATAAATAAATAGGTTCGAACATAAACCGTATGACCACTGACCTAAATGACTAGGTATATTTACTCTCCGCTACTAAAGAATTAGGAACGACGTAATGACAACCTACAAAATAACGAACAAACGAAATACCTGAATAGATGGATACTACAGGGAAAGCGCTACGGCGCTGTCTAAGGAAATCCAAGAGAAATAGCTTAAACACACGGTTGATATCAGAATAAAACTTGTGCACTGTGGTAGAGTGTAATTCCATTACGGGTAAATTTTGTTTTGATAAAGTCTCACAGTGTTATACAGTAATGTTACTGATGACGTTTCGAGCACAATTTATTGCTCATAATCATATCAAGGGACTTAAACACACGGGTTTAGTGAAATTTATTTTCTTTAGGAGTAAGACCCACCGCTGACTGAAGTGGCCACTACTCCGTTAGTTAGCACATTCAATGCAAGGCTAAACGACTGTGAGGAAATGAATAGTCTGAGCACATCTATAGGAGGGACAATCTTGCTCTGAGGGATTACTTTTTTCATTTTTTCATTCCGAATGGTACATAAGACTTTATGTTTTGAAGTTTCAATAGCGACGGTGTTGTTTCCATAGGGAGTGGTTACTGGCCTCACACTCAGCCTTTCCTCTTTCTACAGCTTACGACTAGCTAAGCTAAGTGAGACTTAGTAGTGGGTCGTCCGAGAATTATACCCGAACTTTCTGTATGGCCGATAAGTATTCTACGACCGACTCACTGAGTCGATACTCTCCCTGTCTTTCTATTTTATTTATTTACTCTCTTCATTTGTACATTACTTCTCTCTTTTCTTCTTACTTTACCATCTGTCGGACTGCTGTATCACTGTTTCATTCTGTCTTATTTTACTTCTAGAATAATTTATTTGTGTTCTGGATTTTCTGTTGATATGTCTGACTGAAATTAGACTGATCACTTCTGTTAGATATATCAGCAGGAAATCCCAAACATGAATACATGTCTTGAAATCATACCCTGTTCCTGTGGCCTAGAGACCTAGTAAGTAATACTTTCATGAGTTGAGTGCTGGACTCGAGTCTCAGAATAAACACCGTCATTTACTGAGAAGAAAACGCATCGGGCTGACGTGTCCAAGATAGGACCAAATGTACGCCATGGACCCTACTGCTAACCGCCCACCACCAAACAAGGTGCTTCGATTTCGCTCCAATGTATTTTAGACTGATTTGTAGGTTTTTTTAGTGAAATTGTAACTGCGAATCCCCAGTAGCAGCACATTCCTCGAACAAACCATACATTCCCCCTTGAAAAACGATACCCTGGTTTATTGTATTCACCAGAGCTACGTCAGTCAAGAAAAAGGATCTCCTCCACTGGAATCTGGCGGAGGTCTAAAGCCATTATGCTATAACAAAAAGTGAGCATCAAGCAACCAATAAGTTTATATGATCTCATCAAAAAGATATTGGATATTGGAAGTAAATACACCTCACGAGTTGAAACTGAGTTGACGTATTTACTCACTAAAGTTGATTGTTTTACATTTTTAGGATTTTCTGTTTCCTTTGATGTATGCCTGAAACTACTTAAAAGGAGATGATAGAAATGTGCACAATAAAGATATCGAATTTCACTATAGGAAGTTCAAGTAGAGTAGTACTTTTTAGTAATCGTCTATCACTAATTGGATAAAATCAGAGTTTACATAGTCGTCTGCAACATGCAGTTCATTTTGTAATGAGAACTGTTAAAAATATAACAACTTAGCCTCGCCTAGTTTACTACCTTGCTAGTTCTCTAGCTGGTTCCAAGCCCGTAATACGAGAGACGGTTGCGCGTGAGGCTAACTACCGTATCCCAGAAAATCAATCCAGTCACTACAGAAACTCCAGCACACAAGAAAAACATCGAAAATATAAAAAACAAACTTATTTCCTACTGGAATCAATGAGACTAAATGACGCAGGCTGGTGAAAGCCTTTGGAAAGCCAGTTAGCCAATGTGTACTCTTCCGATGAAAGCAAAAATAAGGATGTGGACGTACAGTGTTCATACGAAGTACGAAGCTGGGAAGGCTTTCCAGGTAGCCATAGAAATGAGAAAATACGGCACACAAATGCTAGAAATCTGTAAGAGCAGGTGAAATGAATGTGCACTATCCAAACTGATAGCTAGGAAGTCAGTGACTGACTGAGTCAGTCATCTAATCCGGTCACCCAGATGACAACCACGAACACACTGGGAGAGTGGCTATCATGATTTCACCAACAACAACCAAAGGTCTTATGCAGTGGGAACAAATCTCCGGGACTATGACAACAATTAATAATTACTTGATGTTAACTACGCTGGACAATGTTTCTCATTTCTAATAACATCTTTTCTACAGATTTCCACATTCATTCTATAATCTAGAAGACGAAACATCCAATAAAAACCTGGTTACTGTGAGGTGATACAAGAACACCAACTATTAGAATAAAGGGTAATCAGTGAATTACGAATAATTCATTCACAAATTTCACTAATGATTATACTATAAGTTACTTGTGCTAATGATGTTCTACACTACACCAACCTTAATAAACGTATTCTACCTAATTATCCCATCAGTCAGTAAACTATCTGACTTGTAATTACCTATAACAAACCAGAAATCAAAAACACTCAGTTATTTAGTAGTATACGATGGTGAGCAGTACACTTAAATCGAATAAAAATTCAGGGTTATTCATGGAAAGGATTTTAGAGCCTATCTGGCTGGTACAACTAAACTACGAATTCAGAGACGGAGCGTGTTAACATCACAAGGAAGGAACACAGAGTGGTTTCCTAGCCTGGCCTGATGAATACCCCTTAAAAGAATAATTAAAACAACTAAAGCATACTCAGATAGGCTAGACGTTTATTTAGTTAACATTAAGTTGACTCACTTTGGTCTGTTGATTTTATTTTGGTGCTTTGGAAGGTGCACTATAATGCCACTTAGTACTGTTAGATGTTAACGATAACTTAAAGAGAACAGAACCAGTAATTATTCTTGGTACATTTATTTTGGTTGAGCTGTACTCTGTGTTCTTTAATCAACAGATTATTGAGCTTAGATATTGTATTGAGCTACAGATGGAATGAGTCTAGAATTGCTGACTTAAAACGTTTGAACTCCTCTTCATTGACTGGGAATAGATCACTAGTCTGACTGATCAAAGTTACTGAAGAATGACTGAACACAAATTTAGCAGGATCTTCCGGAAATTCGCGTCGTATTTCAGTGGCTTTTAGGCTACTTAACAGGTTTAAATGGACGGCTTTGTGCGCTTCTCCGTGACCATACTCATATTCTCAGTGAAAGCTTGGCGTTAATCTCCTATACAACTGGAGGCCTTGTCTGTTACAGAAAAATTCTGCGACATGAACCAAAACACTAGCAAACTCCATATATATATATATAGAGCGTAAAAATTTGATCAGTCAGACTAGTGATCTTTTCCCAGTCTCTGAAGAGGAGTTCAAACATTTTAAGTCAACAGTTCTAGACTCATGCCATCAGTAGCTCAATAAAAAGTTTAAGCTCAATAATCTGTTGATTAAAGAACATAGAGAACAGCTCAACCAACTGAGACGTAACAAGGAATTTCTGATCATACATTTATTTTGGCCACTACTCCATAGTAGTATTTAACTTTCATAAAGGTGAATGTATTATTTGACTAAAAAGTTTTCTCAAACAAGTAGATGTTTAAAACTTTAATGAAAGAAAGCCCATCAATGATCATGCAAACAGAGAATCCAGTATCAAAGTTGGTCAATAATTCATATAAATACAGGTTTATATTTAACTACAGAAAAATGAACTAAGACATTAAAATAAAAAAAAGAATCAAGTCTGATTTTTGATCGATTGAGAATTCGACCACTTTCAATCTGATGATTACTGTTTCCCGAAATTTTCCTTCAACCAACAATTGATGGTATCAGCATGAGCATTTATCCATTTTAGACTTTTTTCGACTCTTTGAAGATAAGTTGCATATACAGTCCGTAGAATGGTTATTCGAGAACTTTCTACGGCACGTCTTCCCAATTGAATTATCTGAAAAAAAAATCAAAATGTTGGACTTGTTTGAGATTCATTCAAATTCACGCGGTCAGTAGTGACCATTTTATTACGACAAATGAATGTATTAATGTTAGAGTAGAATTCTGGCACTGTGGTGAACTATAATTTCATTCACTGATAGGTAAATGTTGTCCGCTAAAGGATTTGATATACCCAGTCAGGAAAAAAAATTAAATGATCTACCAAATAACATGTTAAGATTGTGAGGTCAGTTAGATTCAATTAAACTAATAGATCGGATTTTCAAGTATTGGTTTTGTAGGGATTTTGATTGTTTGGAGGACTTTATCATAGGCTGAAGAGTCCCAAATGGGGACGAAACAGCTGTCCAGTACTCCAAGGTTTTCCAAAGGTTCTCTAACTGATATCGTCTCATGATGAAATCCTCCAACTAATAGATCGGGGTCTAGTATATTAGCGGAAAATGGGAATTTTGTTAGATCTAGAATGATTCACCTGATAAATTAAGTAACCTTGACCACTGCTATGTATTCACTTGCATGTAATCATACATTAAGGTGAAACAGAGTAAAAGTATTAAAAAAGTGATATATTTAGGTTGTATTAACAGTTTAGTCAGTGAATGTTGGTTGGTCAGGTCAACGCTAAAGACATACAAAAGGGATGATGCAACCCTTACTCTAAATATGACAGATTACGTTAAAAAATAGGAAAGGTATTTAAAAACCACATAAAGCAAGTCAGTAAATTTTATATATGCATCGATATGATGATTAGAGATAAATTGTACTCGAAACGTGATTCAGTTATTCACACTTTACGACTGTGTGTTATATCAAATAAACTTATATGTAATTAATGTTTTAGTGTGGTGGTGTGATACTGACAGTGGGTTCCAACGGAATGGTATTGTTACATATTCCCGTAGTTCATTTCGGCATTATCAACAGAATACGATATATCTATTTGAACATAATATTTTATGTTAGAGACAGAATACTTTCCCACAGTTCATTACTGCATTGGCGACAGAAAACTATGTATATGTGAACATTCTATTTCATGTCGGTTGATGTAAACCAAAATCACACGCTCAGTGATCGGCTAACGAATATAAACAGTATAGATATGAACAGATGTTTGATAACTTGAAAGTATACCTTCGCTTATGTGTCTTGCCTTCTATTGTTACATTAGTAGTAAATCAGATTTATTGGGACAAACTTTTTATCATGAGAATGTCTAGAATATCACTCAATCACTCAACACCATTTATTTTATCGTTACCCCAAGAATGAAAATCACATTTTCGCTTTTTAATAAATATGTTTGCTATTGCACATTCACTGAAATAGTGTAGTTCTGGTGGCATCGATGTGATTGGCCAGAAGACCATTAAGGTTTGGTGGGAAAAATGTTAACTATAGATTCTCTCGTAAATCTGACTGCCTGTATACACAGATTTCGAAGTGTTGAAGTGCTAAACCTTGGTAAGCACCATAAATGGAAACTGTCTTCAAAAATTTTGTGAAATCGATTACAGTAATTCAGGCTTCTATCGTATTCATGTTAGGGTACAGCAGAAATGAATCATGTTGAAAACAGCTTTCCGGAAGACATGTACCATGAGAATGTACTATCAGTCTACTTACAAATTAACAAAATAGTCACTTTAAGTCTTTGAAAAGCAATCCGCAAATAAACACCATAACTTCCATCACATTTATCTACTTTCCAGATGAGTTAAGTTTACCATACAACTTTTAATTATGGTAGTGATATCCCGCTAAACATATGAAATTCCAGCTACAAAATATCTGAATACAACTTGAATCATTTACCCCTATAGCTACGGATTTACTAATTTTAACTATTCTCTACTAGGTATAAACCATCATTGATGATTACCAGCACTTCTATTGTAAACTGTCGTTGTACCAAATAAAAGAATAAAAATTGAAAAGACATTTGCTTATGACTGTCTAACTGTTTACTGTTTGTCGTACAACTGTATGTTTGTCTTTTAAATTTCAATATTAGTTTAGACTGAATGTACTTACGCGATACGTTACAATGTTTTTGAATTCAGTATAGTATCTTACAAAATTCCCATTAACTATACTCCTTTGGTCTTAATTGACTTGAAAATACATTTGAACTCATGAATGTTACTAATCATAAATTAAAATAGTGTTCAGAATAAACTATTCTGATTAGTAATAATCTTTAAGGCAAAGTAAAAAGTATCATGTCCCATGGTATGTGAACGCACGAGTAACCTTGAGCCGACCAATCAGGAAAAAAGGTGGTTTGCACACAAAAAACGACGTTTATTTACAAGAGAATGTTTGAAGACACATTAAATAGGGTATCTTTCTCTGACATAACTTCAAAATAGCTCCGGATTATGATGAAGAGTATTAGTTTTTAAGTAAGACCAGTTTCTGTGCATGTATTCACCGAGGGGACTGAAGATGAGACTTTTTTGTGACCTGTTTATCACTCAGTCCTCGATTGAACTACTACGGTTTGCAGTAAAAGGATCGACGACTACTTATTAGGAAAATGTGGATAACAAAATTAATTAAAATAAATAATACCAACCCTAAACCTAACCCAAATCCTAATGATAACCCTGATTTTAACCCTGGTTTAACCCTAATCCTAACCATAACGAGCAATTAATACATTGTCCATACAGTAGGTTTAAACAAGGTCGAGGTGAAATTTACGCCCTAATTCGTGAATGACGCTTACATTGGATCTGTAAAAGTAGTAAGTCCTGTTATTCAACGACTAGTGTACGTTCAAGGTCACTGAAGCGTTCGCACTCCTTGGAATGTGATACCTTTACTTCGCCACCTTTAAAACTGAATGCGTTAGATTCAAATATCAGAGAAGTCATAAGATTTATTCAAGATTTCAGATACGTCTTTCTGATAAGTACTAGTTAGCACACAACTTAGATCAAGCAGGACTTTCTCATGCATGAGTCTTAAAATCAAATCATCCATATGAAAAGTCAATATGCAGAAATGAATTTGTTTGAGTTGTGTCAAATAGAAATTTAACTAACCTCTGCTTGCTTTGCAACATCAATTAAAACTTCTCCATACTCAGACAAAGTATCTAGCAGCTCCACTAAACGTTGACTGAAATAAACAAACAAAGTAGATTATAAATTAACCGAAATCGCACAGTTTTAAAGCATTTCTATTAGTATTATTGTGACTTTTTAAAACAAAGAAATTTCGGATTGTAATAAGTTCTTCAATATCTGTAGTCAGTGAGTTTTATGATGTTACAAAAAATAGCTTATGGGCAAACGTCGAGCCAGCTAAATAGGACTTTAGAGGATAGAGTGAAATGGATATATGCTATGAAGCCCTCCCTATGTTCCGCTTGGAACCCAACGATATAATAATAGTGTTATTAAGATCTATCCCATCTGCACGTTTGGTTAGAGTGACAACTTCATATAGATTTGAGTATCTCTTATTAGTTAGGCAATTGATTATTCCTTGCTTTGTCATATTAGTTAGTGACTTTATCACTTATACTAAATGTGTATCTCGACAAACAGTTCACATAATCCTTAGTAAAAATTATTCAGTGTTTATCATGTCATGTTATTTCATGAATGGAACTAATCAGTAAAGTCTAAGGCAGAACTGACTTAAACACGAATCAAAGAGCCAAGAAGCCGTAGCATACCTTTAAGTATTCACAAAGTTCTATATTCCTCATAACAGTAAGTAGACAATTATGCATAAGCAATATTTTTGCCTTTGTTTTTGATTTATAAGAAATACTTTTATATCGCTAGTTTTGTAGTAAGTTCAACCTGTACCTACTAATGATTTTGAATTTGTTAACAGCAGTTTTCTTACAATAGTTCTAGGCGCTTTGCCTTTCTTCAGCTGTATATTGGTGTACGGATAGTAACTGAAGCCGAAATGAAAATCTTGATTGCAGAAGTAAATATAGCTTGATTACTTCAAGTGCATGTTAACAACTTTCAGCACTCTGTTGACTCTGACAACTTTGAATGTATAAATGGTAGTTGCAGAAATGACGTCAGCTAGAGAACCACTGAAAACCAATGAGTAGTGGACAGCTGCTTCGCCCTTGTTAGATCCTCTTCAATAGTATGAGCCGATGGTCCTATCAGGGACTAAATCTTGCACCTTTGGGTTACAAGGCAATCTCGTTGGCCAAGAAGCCCACGAATTCTAGCTTTTGCAAATTCGCGATGTATAACGCTACCGTAAACCAAAGCCACCAGCTAGCGTCTGTCCTCACATGCAACCTGGTAGACCTCACTGGTCACAACTTCTCACTTGAACTTCATTCAGCTTCTTCCAGTAGTCGGCCACTAGTGATTGACTTTTAAGTGCTAGTTTGCAAGCATTTGACTGATCAAAACTCAAATCAATAAAATCACTACAAAGGAACATTTGAATATTTCAGGAATCTTGTTCCCTTAATTTTGTGTCAAAAGTTACTAGGGTGTGCCCAGAGTTGTCTGAATGGGATGAACAATAGATGTAAGCATGATTAACAACAAAGTACAACATATAACCTTCCGTACTAACTGAGGATTTTCAAAACTGAATAACTTCTTCTTACATAAAATATCAATAACTTCTTACAAAACAGTAATAGAATAAATTAATACCAATGATAAATAAGTTTGGACTCACATTTTTGGCTCTTGGCGAGTACTCTTGGATCTGAGGTGAACAGACAACAACAGGAAAGAATGACTAGTTACTCTTAGATACATCACTATATATGTGTCGTCTTACAATAGCTGTAACTTGATTATTTAAATTAGAAATAATATTGAACAAAGCGAGAACAACAGTTTTAGCAGAATAATATGGTATCATCATTTATTTCATTGGCTTCACATTAGCTACTTACAGCCTAAATAAATTATTAGGTTTTAACATACTTGTAAATATTACATGATGTCACCTGACAGGAGGTTCCGGAATTAGTGGACAATGCTGAGAAAATTACGCCTACATAGCTTTTATACAGGCATTTCAAGTTTAAACAAAGTAAATGTATGCATACACTGGTAAGTTACACAATAAGGACGAGAGATGCGTGAGATGATGACTGACTAAAAATTTGTTCAATTCAAATCACAGAAACAAGAGACAAGGAAAATTACACTATATCAAAGGGGAGGGGATGAAGTTAAAGCCAAAGATTACGTAATCAGAGGAAGGAAAGATTAAAAACATCCAGTTACCAGGCAGCAGAGCAAAGAAAGACTGATAACTGCTTCTTTTTGAATACATAAGTCGGGTTTCAGGCGTTTGATAGAGATTGCTTCGGCAAACTTGAGGGGAATTGACCTTTTGTGTTTATTGATAATTTTAAAGGATTTTACAATTTCCACCTTAAAGGAGGTGGAGATGTCTGGTAATGGCGCTGTTCTAAGCGTTTATGCCCTTGAGACGTAGGCTTTTCGGCACATGTTCAGAAAATCGCAGATGTGCCCTTATTTCTGTTCCCCAAAGGTAACTGCTCCCACAGATACACATAAATTTGTATATACGGTTGGTGCTAACAAGAGAAGGATATCTGTCGACTTTTGACTGTACCAAAGAGCATACTGTCCAATACACGGGAACCAACTTATTTGCAGGGTAGACTCTGGCTAGTGATGTACTCAATCTTCCGTTGACTATTGCTGAAATAGTTACACCTTTAAAGTCGAGTTTAATGAAGACAATGGCCGGAAAGTGGGTGTTTTAATACCAACTCTTTTGGCACACATTTTATCAGACATTATCTTAAAACCAAAAACTATTTAAATGTAGGTAATGTTTAAGTAGCTTTAAACGAGCACTAGTCAAAACTCTGTACTGTAGAGAAATTATAGGAAAAATTTATAATTCTTAAAAAGGTGTTGAAAAACAATGGTTACCCTTAGAGATTCATTAACAAATATGAAAGATGTGAAGGCTCAAACATCAAACAAGTCACAGTGGGAAAAAGCGTAATTTTTTGAGCGCTGTTCACTACTTCCGGAACCTTCTGTCAACTGACATCATGTAAAATTTGCTGTAAGCAGCTGGTAGTAAGTCGACGAAATAAATGATAATACCGTATTATTCTGCTAAAACTGCTTTATTCAAATTCATAAAAGGGTATATATATATATATAGAGGAACCACAGTGATATCACCAGTTAAGCGAACGTCTTATATTCTCACTAATGCTTGCATACGAATTATTTCTATTTGTCACTTAGTTTCGCTTTGAGTTTAGAGCCAAATCATACATTTATAACTAATAATATGACAGCTATGAACAGGAAAATACCTTAATTTCATAAGATTATAAATTAAATGTTTTCCAAAACAGTTCTAACATTTATTTGTTAGATTTGAAATTTATCCGGGTTTTTGTTGACTGTCTTCCTTTACAGCATAGGTATACACTAAGCAATTAGTATTAATAATGTCGTTAGTGCAAAAAAATTCCTGCACTCATTCATATTACTTGATAGAGAGTGTACTTCACTACGAGATTTCTCATCTAGAATGTAGGAAAACGTGTTTTCGTTTATAGTATTCATTTCGCCTCAGTATAAGAAACCTATAATGAAACAAAACAGGTAGTTAAACTATTACATCTTGATTTGTCAAATAAGTCACCTCAAACTCTCTAGAGAAGATAAGGAATGTCTCTTGAATAACATCGTCATTTGAACACAGAAAATGTCAGATTCAAATGTATATTTTTAGTGGTAAAAACACCGCTGAGTTACGCAAAGAGAAATAAACTAAAACTTATTCACAAGAAAAACAAAAGAATAGTTGCGGCGAAAAAAATCCTTATTGTCCACGACGTTATCTGGTAATCTCTCTATTCTCCTTTCATTAAATTTAACACTCATTTACGAAACAGTCACAAAGATTTAAACGAAATGGGGAGTTATAAATGTTTGCCTGAAACTGAACACCTGCAATGCTGACAATGTCTAGAACGCACCAAAATGGTGGCTTAGAAGAAATAACCAGAACATAGGAAGCTATTCTCTACATGTTAATTTATCATACAAAATAAATTCGTTGAAATGGGAGGTGACAGAAGAATGAATTTCTAAGTGTAGGAAGTGACATAAAACTAGTGCATTTCGGAAACAAGCTGTAAGGTCATGAAATCTAAATGAAACATTCAGGTGTCTAGCTTTGACATCTTTCAATATCGATATTTGTCGGCGATCATACTGTGTAGAAAACGCCGGTTGTCATTGGATACAGAGGTGTAGTCTTATTACACATAAGGTAAATATAAGTTTATATATAAGTTTATCCTTTCTTTACACCTTTTAACTTATAAAATATCATAAATCAAAAAAATTTACAAAAACATTAGAAAACCAAAAAAGAAAATTCAACTAAAATAACGGCGTAAGTGGTGTGTTTGTGACATTACACTGCTCTTAAAGTATGGGAATGATGTCAAGTATGGCGTGACGCCACGTTGGCCGGGCGACCTGCTTGGGTATGAATGTAAGGCCCCACGTATGCTTGCGAGCAGTGTAATATGTTTGTAAAATATGTTTGCCTGAGCGAAACGTTGGTGTGGTAAGTCTGTTACTCTGCGGGGCCGCCTCGTGGAACCATACGATCTGACCTCTTGTCCATATTCTGTCTGTCCCTTGGCTGAATGCGGGTGTGGGGTCCCAGACAGGCAGAGGTTGGAGGCCGTAGTATATACGTGGACTGAATGACGGCCAGTATGGGTCATAAGACCTTGGTGACCCTAATAGGACAGTCGTAAGGGCATACGCCGCCCGCCAAGGTATATGATGAAGCGAGGTTGTGTGAATCGTGGATTGGAGGTGGGATCTCGTTTCCACGAGACATGTTGGGATGTCTCCGATGCACAAGAGTCCTGATAAGATGTTCCTGATTTCATAGCCTCGGTTATTAAAATGAAGAAAAAAATTCCGGACAGACAGTGGAGGAGGAGCTGTTTACAGTGACTGACTCTGCTTGCATTGAAATGTGCTCTATCTTTCTCCCGGCCCTAATACTGGCAACAGTTTAGAGCTTGTTATAAAACGACACGGGTAAAGACACAATAAATATAAGTTTACGCGAGAGGCAGTCATACTGATATTTTTGAATTATCATTTGAAATTCTGCTTAGTGATGAATAAGTCACTTTGCCTTATCACATTGTAAATCACTAGTAAGGAAGCAGATAGGTTTATGCAAATTCATGGGCTATCTTATTCAGTGAAGCATGTAAAAAGGATGTCTAAGTTAACATATTGTAAAACTGTATTAGGTAGAAAATAATATCTAGAATTTAACTGCCTAGTTGCAGACTGTAACCAAATCTATACCAGTAGTGTTATGCTGAAGTACGACATCTCAAATCTGATTACTGTCGTTCGAATGTGACTTCCTGAATATGAGTTCATTTCCACTTCAATTCTCGACTAATTAATTCCCTTGTACCAAAATAAATGTAATTAAGTTCTCGTTAATTTTATTGATAGTCTTTGTTAGAGTTGCATCTTACCCATTCACAAATTTTTTCAATTCGTCTATTGCGCTTTGACAAAGTACCCGATTACCAGTTGGAGATGAGGCAATATCTGAAAGTACATACTGGAGGTCTTCATGCTGTAATATCCAGTTCGAATACCTAGTGAAGAAAATGTCAAAATACAGTTAATAATCTTATCATAATGAATAGACTTTTCTTTACACAGTACATCTAATATCCTATCAAATGTCAAAACAAAAATCAAAATCTTTGTTAGTTTATCTGACAGCACAATGTCCAAGTTAAGTTCTGAGGCTTGCTGACGTCAAGATTTTTTTTAAATTTTATATTTTGTTAGTGTTCGTTAACTGTTAATTGTGCAGTCTTCTATTTAACCCTAAGACCTTTCTTTACTTAAAAGCCGGCCTTTAACCAGTCTGCTTACACAACACTGACATGGACTCCATGACAGATAATGTTAATAATAGGATTTGTGAATTCTTAAAGGGATTATAAGTTAACTGACAAGGCATTAAGTCATTTTAAATTGTTGTAAACTCTGGTAGGCTGAGATATTTGAATTGGGTGTTGAAATTAATTTACTTGTTATGTAGAGATTAACATTTCAACCTTCGACTAAATTATCTAGGACTTTATCATTGATCTGTATACTACATAAGCGTCAGGACAAGTATTCTGATCCCATAAGCCTTCAGGAACAATCAGTGCTGTAACTGGATAACACCTATGAATATGAGATCTTTTATCTTATATGCAGAGATAAATACAAAGTGTACCTTCATATTAATTTGTTCACTGGATATATCACAAAGGGAAACAGTAATATTTACTGGATGACATTTCAAACATGATTTATCATTCATTATCATATCAGTTGTAGCTACACAACTTCGTAACTTCATTTCTATAGTACTCATTCTTCCTTTCCATTTGTCATAAGAGTAGTAGTTTAGTAGTGTGATACAGACAGTGGTTCCAAATGAATATTATTCTCACAGCAAAAATCACTGTAACCAGAAGGTCCTGGGTTCGAATCCCGGTGAGTGCGTACTGATGAAGAGTCCCAAACTAGGACGAAACAGCTGTCCAGTACTCCCAGGTTTTCCAATGGTTCTCTAACTAATGTCAGCTCATGATGAAAATCCTGTAACCAATCAAATCCTTACAAACCAACACTTGAAAAATCACTGTATTTGTTGGTATTTACGTCTGAATACTATTACCACAGTTCAATAGTGCATTAGCAGCAGAATACTATATATGCAGTTGAACAATCTATTTCATGTCGTTTAATGTAAACCGAAATCACACGTTCAGTGATTGGTTTAAGAATACAAACAGTATAGATATAAATAGCTGTTTGAAAAATAAACCTTTGCTTCCGTTTCTTGCCTTCTACTGTTACAGTAGAATTTTCCAAAAGTTCGGGTTAAGTGTTGAATCATTTCAATTGCAGGTATTCTCAAATGATTCGGATAATAAAGCTTCCGTTATTAATCTCCCTCCCCACCCTGTCACATTACGTTTTAAGACTGTTATCTTGTTCCATCCTGTTTACAGTTGTGTTTCACTGCGTTTACTGCTATAGCTGAGCTATTCCTAGATTTTTTATCTCATTAGGGTCTACTAGGCAAGATTTCGTTAAGCTCTTGTGCTCCGCTAGGTCAGAGTAGTTGGCAGAACACAAAGTCTTAACGATATGTAGACGAAATTTACGTTGAAATTAATTAAAATCCCTACAAAAACTCATCATCTAAACAGAATTCTTGACTGGTACATCCCGATGGAAATGAAAAATCTAATAATATTTGTGAAAAGTTTGTGCATTGAGGAACGGGTCAATTAATTACACATACTAAAATCGAAATCTTATCCTCACTGTGCAAACAACCACTGAAATATAATCATAATTAATACGACATCTGGAAAAAGCTCACCAATAGCAGTAAACGCAGTGACAAACAACCATAAAGTAGGATGGCATAACAGAACAGTCTTTAAACGTAATGTAACAGGATAGAGAGGGAGATAGATAACGGAAGCTTTATTACTCCAGTCAACTAAGAATATGTGCAATCGGAATGACCCAGAAGTTATTCCAGGACTTTTGGAGAATTCTACTACTGTTACGACAAATGGAAAGGAAGAGTGGGGAGTATGTTGTGTAATTACAATTGAAATATATATATATATATATATACTATTTTCTAGAGAGATTACATAGAGATATAAATTATATATTATAATTTGTAAATTTTAGTGACTGTTTAGTTTCGTTCAAACACTAATTGAAGTCTGACCGACAGCCTAGTGATATGAAGTACCTTTAATCTATCTCAAGTTACTTAAAACCACGTATTTAGTTTTCTGCTTTACTTCATAGTCGTCAAAAGGATCAGTTTCATCGTCTTCTAATTAGCGGTAATGTTGGGAAAGGTTTCGTCGCATCGTCATTCAACTACTCCCCAGAAATTGATGAACTCATACGCTATAAAGAATGAGTACTTCAAATGAATTAGTTGATTTTCGGTATCGGTCAGCTTACTTTTCCATGGTCGTGACATTGCTTGAACAAGATAATCCTTGTAAAATATTATCCATTTCCTCATGATCATTGCCCGTCACAGATAACCTCTGCTTCAGAAACTCCCAATGTGTTGCGTTACCGCAACGTATAGCTGAACAATATACACTCCTTCTCAAGCTTCGTGGTATCCTAAAAAAGTATAAACAAAGGTAATTAACTGGAAAATATTCCAGAATTTTTAGAAGTTAGTTAAATATATAATATAAACATCAGAGATAATTCTCATGCATCGTTTTTTGATTATGCATTTGAGTGTAAAGATCAGCTGTAGAAATTTACAGCTTTTGCTAGGCATTTAAGCTTAATAAGAGAGATTGAAGAAAACAAAAACCAAGTGCCTCCATTGTGGATAAAATCTATCTTGATAAAGTCTCACTGTATTATACAGTAAGTAATATTTACTGATGACGTTTCGAGCACAATTTATCGCTCATAATCATATCAAGGTACGCCTCACACAACTTTCTGACTTCGTTTGTATATATGAATAGAAAATTATTAGAAATATGAATGAATAAATAAATAAAAATCAATATAAAGTCCAATATACATGCGTGAAATACATGATAAAGTACATTCGGAGGTAATATCAGTGTTATCAATAAAATATAATACGATGGGAATTAAGACGAGTGTTTTTAGTCAATATAATGGGAAATAAGATGTTGTTTTAGTAAAATAAATAACTTGTTAGAATGTTATAATGTGAACTGAAGTAAATTTTAACATTATTTATTATCTTCTGATTTGACTGGTAATAACATCGTCCATATCTCTGGTATTTGCATTGAGTCACTTCTATTGCATATGATGGGTATATATTCGATGAACAAGAATTCAATAACCAATGTCTCTCTCAACCTACCTATATAACTTTTTTAGAATTTTGACTCTTCTCTCCCAACCTACTGTGTAATTGCGTGGTAATAAATGCAGTGCGACTGCTGAGTTTTTCTCTAAATTACTAATCTTCACGGGGTCAATCATTCTAACCTTAGCTAAACTCTTATGTTCTGATAATCTCACTACTCCTGATCTACTAGTTTGACCTATCTAGTTGACTTAGCTCACGGTCATTGCAAGGTATTTTTTAAATTATATTATTCTGTCTGATTAGGTCACCAGGGTCCTTTAGCTTACAGAGCTTATCTCCGAGTTGTGTGAGTACCGTAACATGAGTAGCAATAAACTGTGCCCGAAACGTCATCAGTAAATATTACTTACTGTATAACACTGTGTAACTTTATCAAAATAAATTTTATCCATAATGGAATTATACTTTACCAAAGTGCACAAGTTCTATTCTTATATCAGAAACCAAGTGATTCTAAGGTTAAAACAAACTATGAAAAGTCATCACAGGAAAATACTTATTAGTTATTTATTCTAGTGTGTTCAACAGAGTTTATTCAGATAACACTGCTAAAAAACTATTCCAAAGATGCTGGCACTGAATTGTAGTGGGTTCCATTAAGAAAGCTGACAAAATGGGAAAATCGTCAACCAGTTATTCAAACTCACTAACTGAATGGTAAATTGACCCTTTTTTACTTTGATAGTTTTGGACTCGAAGCCTAGTAGGGTGATAATTGCACATTCATGAAGAATTCCAAAGTAGGAAGCAAAAATCACCCAGTGTCATTTTGCTTTCAATGGTTCTCTCAGCTGATGTCAGTTCTTTAAGGAAACAAGCTTATAGAATTAGTCATGATTTCATATTGCTAAAGTGGATTCCCTAATTAATATCACATTTCACGAGTAACGTAAAACAGATAAGTTGTCAATGCAAATCTCTTACAAATCGATAAACAAACTCTGAATGGAAAACAACCTACGTACCAGTAATATTAATTCCACGGAATGTGAACACAATTCCCGTGTGTTTGTGTTTCGAGACAGTTTATGGCAAACTACACAAAAAAACCTCTTGACACGACAGAACTATTCACCGTAAACTATAACTCGCAGGTACTCATTCTTCATGGTTGGGTAAGATTTCACCCGACATCAGTGCATAGTACTGCCACTTGAAGGTTTCTTATTTCTGCACTGATTCAAACAGTGTTGTGAATTCGAATGATGCCCTAACTCAGCACGGTGTTTGTGAATATGTCATGATGATTCATTGTAAGACCTAAATCTAAATCAGTCAGACTAATTAGCCATTTTGATCGATTATTCGTTTTTGCTAAGCATAAACTCCATTCAAATAATGAAGTTAGATATGAAGTTGTATAATTTTATTTTTGTAGTAAATTATATTCTCTCTCAGCGGTTTGATGCGTAATTCTACCTAGAAAGTCATTTCACAAATTTACACAAAAAGAATAATTATTTGCTCTGTGATATCATATTTTAATTACTTATATGTTCTTAATAACACTTATAACTTGGTTCATTTGTAAGGGAATACAATTATATGTCTTCATGGACCCTCATTAAATAATCTGTGCATTTCATCTGCTTGAAATGTCTGTTGAGACAGAAGCATGATGCAATGATGAGTCGAATTCTGTATTAAATAACTTATAACTTATTGTGACTAATCTCCGGGTTTTCTTTTCGAATCCCATTAACGAATAATTAAAATGCTGAGTGTTTAAAAATGTACTCCATGTAGCATACAAAAGTAAACGAACGAGTGGAGAAAAATGTATTCAAAAGAACTATAATAAGCAGAATTGTGTGAGAGAAAGAACAGTAACATGAAAAATATGACGGTCTAGTGGATATGTGAGACCATATCACCAAACATTGGTTCTCAGAGTCCAGACCAAGCAGTCTACATCTCCTTACATGACTCAAACCGAATTCAAACACTTCATAGATTGTTGTTAGGCTTTCGTTTTACTACCTCTAACTCTTTTTCGACCTAATACGATATCAGCGAACATCACCCCTCTAGGAAGGCGATGGTTTGGTATGCGCAATATGTATGTAAGTCATTGACTGATTTTTCCGTCTTGCCTAACACTCTACACCTAGCTTCAATATTACTCACCGTATTATACCACTTAACATCGGAGATAGAACACAGGCACCTATGGTCAAAACAGATAGCCTTTTCATATCTTCAGCTCTCAATGGCCATGTCTCAAAACCGTAAAGGAGAACAGAGTGAACAGCTGAAGAGTATACACGTCCTTTGGTCGACATCCGGGTATCATGTCTACGCCAGAGTTGGTGTAAGTTAGCATATACCATACGAACCTTCTGTATTCATGCTGAGATTTCGTCAGCCACCAACTCGTTGGGGCTGATGGAACTCCCCGTATAGGTGAAGTGGTTAACACGCTCTACCACTCCGCTCTCTATCCTTAAGCCAGGAGTAAATTTAGTCCAGTCCTGTAGCATCATCTTGCAACTGACAGAAGAGAATTGCATAGCAAACACTCGAAGTTTTCTGCTAAGTGTTAAGTGTAACCTGTTTCAAAAATGGTTTAATCCATATAACCTTCTAGCATTGAACACAATCGATTTTGATAATATTTCTTAAAAGCTGGATGTAAGTTAATTACTGATAATTTGTTTAATCCAAAAAGAATAACTAACGGGTTTACTGAGCAATTAGCCATCCATTTATTAAATAGTTCTGTGGCATTCCGTACACACAATGGATGTCCCACTTGACAGGCGAGATGAACTAAGTATTCTCGTAGCAAGCTGTAAAAATAGACAAAAAGTGGGAGAGTAAAACGAGTTGAATTACTGAGAAAGTTATTGCGTCATAATAAATAAAAGACTTATCAATAAGACAGTACATGAACTATGGAGAAAACACATAAATGTTTTTAAATGCCACTTCTTATCCTCCAACTTACCTCATTTTAATAATGGACAGGTCGTCTTAATTAAATAAATATCCTGAATACTCTAAGACTTTCAGATTTCTAGTGATTTAATCGGTGATAACTGAAAGTAAAGTGGGAATCTAGATCCTGACGGGTTTTGAGGCAAGAGCTTCCAAATTACTAACCCAGCAGGATTTGCATATTTGTTCCAAATGAACGAAAGTTGACAGTAGTATCAAAATAACTAATGCAGCGCACTCTGCAATATTATTACGACAGACATTCTTATTTAACCATTACACTTACTAGACAGTCGATTAACTCAAATATGATTCTCAGTAAATCTGCTGATAACGTATAGGGCCCAACTTACAGTCTAATATGCTTTTATTTGATAGACCACAATGATACAGTATTATTTATTAGAAGCTCAAATTATACTTTACTTTCAGCTGTGGTAACAATGAATTCCTGGCACTTACCTATGAACTTAACGTGCATGACATGAATAATTAGCGCAGTATCTTTCTTATGTTTTTAAGCATTTATTCTAATTGTGTGAGCTAGTCATAACCCTTCTTTCACAATGTAAAACATTTAATAATACCCACATTTCATGAGATCCTTCTTAAGGGTTAAGTCCTTACCAAGCTTATAGTGTCTAATAGATAGTTTACAATTCTAAACTTGGAATTTATATTCTAAATGGGTTTTTATGCAGAAAAAAAAATCAAATTTCATTACGGAAATTTATTCCGCCACTTTGACTTATCGAACTCATCATTGTAGGAATCATAGACAGTGAGAATTACTAATTACTTTTCGCAATACCGAATACTATCAGTATTTCTGAGGCGCTCATCAAAGTTTTCAGGACAACTGATAGAATATGTCAAACGTAATTACCGTTGATTAACTGTAGAAATCCGCACCACTTGTTATTTCCACTAGTGGGTTCCAGATAGCATGAACACTATATACTGTTAAAGTTTAACTTCCACTCAAAAAAGCTGGCGGAGATTTTCAAAAATGTGCTTCGAGATATTTATATAACAGATTTATTAAAGCATTTCATTTTTCTTTGTATAAAACTACATACTACTGATTGACTGAAGTGAGTAGTTGTACACTACTCAAATCAACCAGTTGTGCTTGCTAGCCAGATCGAGGTGACTTAAACACCGGACAGCCATTTCACTCGTTTGCGGCAGAGTTCACCAGTGATGTATCCGGTTTGCCTCATCTCAGAGAGCCGAATCAATTCAAATCACTGGAGTTGATCAAGAATGTCACATACTTTGATCTAAATAATCTGGTTTACAAAGCAAACTGCAGTGAGGATTTCACCCACCCCCCTAACTGTGTACACTGCAGATTGCTAACTAATTTGCAAATTATCAGTTGCATTCCATTTTTCTTTGAATTCAAGATATTTTTGATTCACATCCAGGTGTAGTGGACGTTTGACGCAGCTTTATGAATGTTGAAATAACTGTGGAACGACATGTTGGATATTGGTGATAAGAAACTGGACAAAAAGGTAACTAAGTAAAAGCAGAAGCACTTGACAACTCCATAAAAGTACGATTTTTAAAATATATTTCAAGTACCAGATACAGTTTGGTAAGGAGTTAAGATTTCCACGCTTATGCATTACGTAAATAGTTATAAGCGAGTGAATCTAATAAGAACATGACTGAAAGGACGTTTTATAAAACCAGATTATCATTTGCAGTGTACGTAAGTACATATTCACAGCAAATAACTTTGAAACAAGTGAATGTTCCAGGTGAGAAGGCATAGCGACTTACCCTTTTTCAATATCTTGATCTTCTCTTATACTTATCCAATCGACTGATTCAAGTGGCTTGTCTAAGAGAGAATGTTGATAGGCTTGAAAATGCTTATAACTTTCATTTAAACCAAGCATGTAATAAAGAAAGTCGAATGATTGTAACACTGTTTCCCAAACTACCGAACTATTCTCATTTTTTAAATACTTCGTCAAATTTAGAAATACAGTATACGACACAGTCTTGTTACTGAAAGAAATAAAAAACGAAAGTAGTTGAAAACAATTTTTAAGTGTATCTGTCTATCAGTTACCAACTGAATGAACAGAACTTTTACACTTAACAATGTGAATGCAGTATAATAACAATAATAATCATCGTAGCTCGGTAAACTGCATACTACAGTGCAATGAATCAGCTGCATATCACTGTGAACTAACTGTTTCCACATTTATTAACTGCCTTTTTATAGGAAAGCATCAACTAAATAATAATAATAACAATAATTTCAAGTTTGACCACGGATTGATACCAGTTAGAGAACTACTGGAAACCATGAAGTACTGAACAGCTGTTTCGTCTTAGTTTGGGACTCACCGGCAGTACGCACCTCCCCGGCGTTCGGATGCAAGACCCTCTTGTGACAAGGCAAACTCGCTGGCCATTCAGCTACTGGCACCTGAATCAATGGCCATTCCATGAACTATAACTTCTACCAATTGATGATTTCAGCGCGACCGTCAGCCAGTGTCACCGGCGAATATCTGCCCTCACTAGAACTCTAGTCAAGTCTGTCCTGTAGCTAGCCACTGGCGAACATCATATTAATTTTCAAGGGTTAGTTTGTAGAGATTTGATTTCCACTGGTTCCTTAACCGATATCGATCCGTGGTCAAACTTGAAACAAATCAAATCACTACAAAATAACTTTTGAAAAATAATGATAATTATTATCATTACTGTGCATTATTTTCAGTGTTTGTTTTAGTTATCCTTTAAGTCGTTTTATGAAAAATAACGCATTTTCGGCAGATATTAGTGACTACTAAACATTCCTGTGAAGATGAGGGACTCTATACTTAAAGTCATAGGTATATTCTAAAACATCTGTAATTAAAATATTTAGACTTCCTCAGGATTATAAATTCTAATTACTTATATCGCAGAAAGCTAAATAAACGTGAACTACAGCGCTCAAGTTAATCAGTACAATAGATATCCTATTTTCAATTACAACTGGGTAAAATCCTGTATATATTGAACTATTCTCTTTTCTTTATTTCTCGTGTGCTTAGTATTTCATATGCTGAAACTATCCTTAATTTGTTTTACTTTCAATTTCGTGGTTATGAAGAAGAAATCTACTCATGTTACTCGTATTTGTCGTTTATATATGCTTGAACTAAGCAGTGCCACCACTGACTCCCACTTAACTTAAAGCTAAGTATAAAATCAATTAGATTGCATAAAGGTTCTTAGATGTTTAGATATTCTGATGAGCTTAAGAAATAAACAGCTCTTGGCTTACTAGGATTTGATGGGTTTCAAGTGAGATCACGGAATAACATTAGACAGAGAACCCTCAAAAACAAGGGGGTACTAGACAGCTGTTTTATCCTGATTTGAGACTCTTCGCTAGTACTCACCAGTGACGCATGAGAATTAATCGAATGCTTACTATCGACTGATTGAGGGATGAAGTTGCCTGGAGTTCTAACGAGAGGGTCTAACACGTCGTGTGTGAAGACCAGTAGTCATGGATGACATTGGTTGACGATGACAGTGTATATAGCGAATTGACGGAATTTATAATTCATGGGCGATTGGATTTCGTCCCAATAGCTTCTTGGTCAGTGGGTTCGCGTCATGACCTTAGTGTCTTAGGTTTGAACCCCAGTGGGGTTATGGGGTGCGTACTGCTGAAGGGTCCCAAACTTGGATGAAACGACTACTCAGTATTTCATGGTTTTTAATTGTTTCCTAACTAATATCATTCCTTGATCTAACTTGAAATGACTTCATCTGACAATCCGTACAAATATTCAACTTCCAAGAAGAATTTAACAAACTCATGTATATTGAACGACATTAGAAAATACTACAGGTTTCGATTAAAAGACAAATTCTTAGCACTCTACTCCACACATTATGTTTGCTTGATAAAATATTCAAAGAAGGGAACAATAATTGAAAGAAAACTTCCTCACAAGGCTTTCTCGCATATAATACAGTTAACTGAAATTTTTCTTCCCTTGTTACCTGCTTCTATTATCTACAAATGGCTTGTATTGCACATTCACTTAAACCATATTATGGTATTCCATAATAAGATATGGTGTTAGGTTGTCTCAATAAAATCTGTACTGTTATTCAGAAAATCGGATCACCTGAAAAAGATGGTTCCATGGAAAGTCCTCAGAATGAATAGTTCAAGTTGTAGTATAGAAGACATTATGCAGATAACATTGGGAATACTGTTCTTCACTATAAGGCAGTAACTTATCGATTTACAGACGAACCTAAGTATCGTGGAAATCCTAAATAAACATGGATGACTGAAGTTCATCAAAGAATGTCGATGTCTAGTAGTTAGGGTGGGTTAGCATATAATTTAACTTTTTTGGTGGACTGATTACGTGAAACTTCAAACATAATGGTAAATTCTAAAAATTATTGAAGTATATTTCAGATATTGAACTGAGGATAATTTTTAAAAGGAATTTAAACATTGCAAAAGTTAAAGTTAAGCACTGTGAAAGATTGTAACTGCATACTTTAATGTTATTACATTGTCTAGTCAATATTACTGTAACACTGTAGGCTACACCAAATAAACAAACTGATAAAGAACTAGGAAAGTGATTTTTCAACTCATTTCATTAGTGATAAAACGCTACTCATATTTTTCAGAAAATAAGAGCCTGTGCACTTCCACACGTTATCAAATTTTTCAATTATATAAACATGTCACACGTATACAAGCTATATTTCATTACATTTTTGCCGGAATGAAGTATGCATACAAAATTAATTCCATTTAGTTGTATGAGTCAGTTTAAATATTACTTGGTTCATGCCATGAGTTAACTGCATTAAATTTAGCATTGTTATCATTCCCTTGGATTCCCAGTGGAACATAGAGCTTCATTCCACTCTGTCTCCTGCAGTCACTTTTACCTAGCTCAACGATTACCATTAAAATTACATTTCTTCCTTATAAAATTTCCTTCATGTCACCTATGGATACCCAACTAGTCGATTCCCATTCAGACCTTAATAAAATGGTTTCGTGTGCATTATCACTCAGCAGTCTCCTCAGCGCATGTCCAATCCATCTCCATTTCCTTCTGCATATTTGCTGAACAGCTGGTTTTCTGTACTGTCAGACTTTCTTGCTGCTTATCCTTTCTGGTCATCTAATTTTGGATTATTAATCCAAGTGAAATCAACCACGTAAGGCGAAACTATATAAGTTAACATCAGTGATCCATGCTATTGACAATCAGCTGTAGAAATAATTACATACGGTGCATTCACTTTGAAACTAAATTCTAGGAGATGAACTTTAGAGTGATTAGATTTTCCCTAAACATTTATACTGATCTCTATATTTATTCAAAAATTATAAATACTTCAAAATACAGATATGAAATAAATATATGCATGTATAAATTTGATGTTTTAGGAACCTGATTAAAGATATCACAGATATTTAAACGAATGTAACCTACTTTGCTAGACTGAAAAGATCATTTAGAATTTGTGAACGTGAAGCAACTGGAATCACCTAAATAAATAAATATGGAAAAAAGGTGAAATGATTATCAGTTATTGATGAGTGAAAGAAGTTAGAGTAAATGCAAACATGAAGTGTTCACACAGATTTTGAATACAGTGGCTACCTCCTAGCTATTGCCTAAGAACAGCATTTACTTATCTGTTTCTTTAAGACAGATTAAAAGATTCACCAATTCTGTGCTATCTGTTAATGCAAGCATAAAAGTTATTATATTATTACTATTTGTTGTTCCATTGGGTTCCGAGTGGAACACAGGGCTTCAAGAATACATCTCCAGTTTGATCTGTTTTCTGCTGTCCTCTTTAGCCTGGCCGATTATTACTCAAAATTTCTCATCTCCTCCTCGCACGATCTCCTCCATGTTACCCTCGTACTGACCACCTACTCGTCGTTTCCCATTTGGATTCCACTCAAGGGCCTGGCAAGTATAAAAGTACCGAATATCATTTTACATGAACTCGGATCAATATTTAACCGAATACTTCCAAAACATTAGAAGCTAAATCAAAAGTAAGCACTTTTACATACTGTCTCATAAAGAATAGATGGGAGAGTATTTGGTTTTATAGTAAATTCGGAAACTAAAATTCAAATATGCAAATACAGCACTGTGTGATATTGTTAATAAAGATAAAATTAACAGTACAAATAAAAATAGTATTCACAGTTATCCAGTGTGACCGGGAAAGATGGTGATTGTAGGTTTAAGTTGAAGTTCATAAGAGGGAGAGTACTTCAGCTATGCTTAGCAGTTGAAGGCATACAAACCTAGAAAATTGTGGTGGCACTTCGTATAGAACTGCAAAGGCTGAATTTTTATCAGTCTTATTCATCTACTAGATGTGCCGATACAACGACGTTGAACAGTGCTCAAGAAGGTGATGGTGGACTTGCCAAGTCATTCTACCTATATAAATGTACTCATAAGAGTAGTTAAATTTATAAATGTGCATTGGATTGGTCAGACTCCGTCGCTTATCTTTCAGTGCTAACGTGGAATAGTTGCCTAGTCACTGACTAGTCTCCAATCAAAGGTTCAACATTTAAATGATTCTAGACAGTATATTTGCTTAAGTCATTAGGTCAGCTAAACTTTCCTTCAACAGAATGGATCAAATTTTGTCCATTTCGTTTTGTTTTAATCATTCAATTAAATCCTCCCGTTGCAAAATGAATATATGCACACTTTTAGCTGACTTTCAACCTACTAATGCCCATTTCTGGAAGGAGTAAATGGGAAAATATCATAAGGGATTGGTTATTACAGTATATCATTCCGTTATGTAATATACCGTCAATTACATACTACTTGGAGATCTTGTACTAAGAGTAAAATGAAATACACCGAGAATCCTATACGGAGTGTCAACATTTTGTTCAGAATAAAGCTGTTATCATTATTACCAATATTATTATATTGGCTGATTTCGTCAGGAACTAATATCAGTTAGAGAACCATTGAAAGGCGGGGCGTAAAGTACATCTGTTTCGTCCTAGTTTGAAACCCTTCAGAAGTGCACATCCACAACCTATTAACTTCAGGTTGCTAAACAAGCATGTTGACAACCGAGTGAATCAGTTGGTAATTTATGGGAAGTGTATTGTAATTTCTGTTATTAAGCTGGGTGTTCAATAGACGCGCCTTGTAACAATAAGATAAGAGGTTCAGCCCCCGAAATGGTCGTAGGCGCAGTCTGCTGGAGAGTCCCAAACTGGTTCAAAATATCTCTCCAGATCTCCATGGTTTTCAATGATTTTCTACACAGAAATTAATCCAAATACCAAGAAGACCCATAATCTAAGTATTACCATTATAGTCGTCATAGATCACAGCAGATATGTGGATCAATTTTGTGCTATTGTTTTAAATTGTTTGCCAAATACTATGAAATGTCTTTAAAAATAAACTCCAAACCGACACATGGAATCTATGTAAGTGTTCATTTATAATCTGGATTAACTTTGTCCTCAAAATCAGCAGTTAAACTAATATCTTAAAATGGCAACTGATCCACTTAATAATACTTAAAATCGATTTGTTCCCCTGACAACTCCTTGTGTATTTTGCCCACTTTACACTTTATTCTCTAAAAAACATAATAGTTTTCTTCGTCCTATATGTATTCACTGTATTCAATTCCATTGCTAACAACTATCTTTTCGAACCCAACATAAATATGACTGTAAGACTTCAAAGTGAAGTTGACCAAAAGAAACATTTCTTTCTATGTAGGTTTCGTCATAAACCAATATCAATTAGAGAGGTTATTGAAAACTAAGGAGCACTGAACAGCTGGGAAGTAGTAAGCAGTGTGATCCACCATGTCAAGGTGCAGTGGATACTCATGGAAGGTATTCGTCGAGGGTAGTTATAATTCACGGGTCACGGAATTCCAAACCAAGTGGTTGAGAGGTCAACAAACTTGGTCTCTTAACCTGAAGGTCCCGAGTTTGGTCCCTGGTGTTGTCATGGGTGCACACTGCTTGGGATTCTCAAACTACGACGAGACAGCTATCTAGTGCTCCTTGTCTCTCAATGATCTCCGTAACCTATTTTTGTTCGTCTACATTGAAATTTATCCAAATCCATACAAAGATCCATAATCTAGGTAGAAATATTTCTTCACTAAATAACTAATTCAGACAAAAACTGGCCGCATTATAAATCAAGATGAGTTTGTTCTATAAACAGCATCCAACAGTGACAAAAAGTAGGATATTTCACATTTTCTGAATGAGAATTATAGTCCTTCAATTAAAAAATATTCTCACCATTTCAGGAAAACAACTTAATTAAGGATATCTCACAAATCGCTTGTTTTCAAGTTAAACTTAATTAGTCTTTCTAATAACTGGAAAGAATTTGTGGTTCACATAGTGATGGACATGCCTTTGACCTAAATCACGAAAAGCTTAAGTATACAGCAAAAGGAAAAATTGACTATGCACGTCAATACTTAACATCAGTTAACAACATCCCTTACACTAATCACCATGTTCGATAATAAATTTTAAATGGTGCGTAAAAGCTAGACCAGAAATCAATATTTCAGATCATAGGCCTCTGACGTGTAATTTTCCAGCCTCACATTTTGATTCATGTTTCATTCGCTGAACTGGGATAAGTATATTTGTCGAGAGAATCCAGTCATCGTAGTTACAAATACTTCTGTGGTGAGAGCTGTCTACTAGCCAAATTGGTAGACAGTAATTTACATCAATATTTATGTTCTCAAGATTTGTCGTGAGAAAATATGAACAAAGATTGATTCAAAACCGACCACAGCAGACTTTGCGTAGGCGGATGCAGTTAACATATAGAGGATTTGACATTCAAGAAACAGTCACAAATAGATGAAAGATTAACTTTACGTGAGAAACAACCAATCGGAAGACTGTGTTTGTTTGTTTACGTATCCATAGTAATGTACATGAAAACATATATAAATATGCGTTGATTTCCTTAATAAATGATCTGTTGCCTGACTCTTGCCTTCTGTCGTTACACTTCTATGGCTTAGTAACATATTTTTACTTGAGAGAAAAGTTTTCAGAGTTTTAATTATTCACTTTCCTAACTGATTCATCTCTTTTTTGCTTGAGGAAAATGAATCAGTGTTAAGTAGATTTCTTGTGAATAAAATGTATGTGACAAAAACATTAACAATCTTCCAATTATCATACCTCACAATCTTTATTCAGTTGTTCTGTCAGCAGTTGCCAGTTATCGTCAGTATAATTAACTCTGTAATATCCAGTCTGTTGGACATTGAATAGATACCAGCTTTTGGGCTTTAGTTCTAAGGTCTTGGTCATTGTACCTTGTGTGAAATAATAATAATAACAATTCTGAATTTATTGCATCATACAAAACGATGTTATTAGAGAGACGATGTATCTGAAAGAAATATCTTGTATAATTTAAGTAATACAACAGTGTGTCAACCGAAGTCTGACCTCAAATTTCATTCATTCGTTTTACTTGTGTATTCTCTTAATAACCTAGACAGTTTGCCAACTGTTCATCAGGTTTCATAAATGCATAAAGTGTGAGAGTCTGCTAAAGTAAGGGTGAGTTGAAAACACACATTCGGACATACAGTGCATAGTTACTTCTCTACGTGTATAAAAAGTGGTCGTCCATAATTCATCTTCAAGTTAATTAGAATACAAATATAATCCATATAGACGATACCTTAATATTTTCAGTTTCCCTAGGTGACTTTCAAACCTTTAATCGGAAATTCGAAAGACTCTAATTTCCTACATTTAAATTCATACTCTTATGATAGAAATATTACTTAGATAAGTTCTGAGCTTAAACATAATTATATGGAAGTCTTGTAATCGGTTGTGGATCACTGAATCGTACTCGAATATGCAAAAATATTTTTAAATTGTGAATATGAAGATAATCTGCAGAGTTAATTATTGACCAACGAAATTAAACTAACTCTTCAGATATTTTTCTTGATACTTCAACAGACTGCAGTTTCTATTTCATCAAAAGAAAACTAAAAGGAGACTAAACAACTGAAGGAGTTCTGCAACGCCTCTGAAAATGATGAAGTAACATTAGATTATGAGATGTAGCAGTTTTCTGAGCAGACTCACAAGCAATTGGGCAAATATTCAAGCAGATAAAGCAGGAAATACATGTTGAATAGTCACTTTGTCTTTTTAGCTGCTGAATCTATCTGCTGAAATCTTAAAACTGTTATTACACAAATTATCAAACTGAAGTTCTAATAAACTATGAGGCCTTCACAATGTACCATCATTATAATCATTATTAAGAGATCAACGAAACCCAGAATCTAAGCATGAGATAAACAGAATTCTGGAGGTCAACAAATCACCATAACACACTATGACCAATTCAGTATCACAAGATCATTTTTGATTAAAGTGAGAATAAATTTAAAAATTGAGTACCATACATCGTTAATTTCAGAGTATCTAGACTAAATTTGAAAATCAGCTCCACAGAGAGTTGCCCATATTTCGCCTCAATTAATCTTCAAAGCGATGAGGAAATTTCAAAAGGCAAATAATGGAGTAAGTTAGTGATCAATAGACATGATGACATAAGTTCAGTCCACTAGTCAGTTGAGATAAAGACACAATCTAGTTGTCAGAATTAGCTTACGAGAATAATCTAATGGAATAAATATGCATATGGCAATCGAATATAATCCGAAAAAAAGTAATAATTGTTCGTATTTTGTAAAAGAAAGTAGAATATTCCCAAACAGCATGTTTCCTATTCACAATGATAACAATATAATATATATACAAGAGCAAGGAAATGAACTAGATTTTTGACATCAGTGTATTGAATAAACGTTTTTCTGTGTTTTTTAAAAAGTGGTATAACCAAATCAGCTATTAAATAGTTTCAATGTTCTGATAATAATGATCATCATGCACAAAATGAAGTGATATGTACTCAATAACACTTCATTACCATAAACATCCATATCAGATACGAACATTCTCTATTATTTCAAATTACTCTCGGAAATTTCCTAAATTATCTCGTATATTGATTTGATAGGCAATAAATAGTACAATAAACACTGTGGTAGTACTCACGATTTGTCATCCATAAAACTTCTGTCTCATCCCAATTTGTCGTATTAGCTGACCCATATGTTAGAGGTATTTCCCAAACATTGCTATAAAAAAATCAAAATACTGGCTGATCGATAAGTTGAAATACTAAGGTGATGTTAATTAAATTAAATGTGGACATGTGAAATCATATAGAACCACCATTATCCATCCCTGTGCTGATTGCTTTCTGAATATTAGTGGACCACTACTTTTAATCCTATTGTCGACATTTAATAACATATACCATTTGCATATTACTGACAATCGATGGTTAGAATTAATGTTGCACATGTGCTTTGTATACCATATTCTTGCTAAATGGCTGATTACCAACAAACTGATCATTGCTTTCAGTGGACATTTGACAGATTAATACCAATAAAAGTAGTTAACATAATTCTCGGAGTGTTATTTTCATTGTTTAGAAAAATATTTTCATGGAGGATTTCATCATGAGCTGACATCACTTAGAGAACCACTGGAAAATCTGGGAGTACTGGACAGCTGTTTCGTCCTAGTTTGGGACTCTTCAGTAGTACGCACCCACTGGGATTCGAACCCAGGACCTTCTGTTTACAGGGCGAGCTCGTAGACCATTGAGCATTGCTGAAGAGTCCCAAACTAGGACGAAACAGCCGTCCAGTACTCCCAGGTTTTCCAGTGGTTCTCTAACCAATGTCAGCTCATGATGAAATCCTCCATGCAATCAAACAAAATCTCTACAAAACCAATACTTGAAAAATATTTTCGCCAAATTTTTAGTCAGTAGAATTATCGGTGGGGAAATTTAATTTGGTTGAATAACAGTTTCTGTCGAACATACATTCAAATATGATCTTTTCAGTTAAACATTGTACTTTTTCCCAGCGCTTTGCATTTGATCTTAAGCACTGACGACGCATAACCTAAATGACATTCTTTTGTTTTAACAGAGATTAGCATATCAAATGAGATGACGAAGTGTAGTCAGTTAGAGGACTGCTGAAAACCGAGGACTACTGCAAAGCTGATTCATCCTAGTTTCATCAGTATACACCCATTACAACACTGGCGATCATATTAAGTACGTTCCGGGTACGAGGTAAGCGTGTTGGCCACTCATTCATTGGGACGGAGTTCAATAGTCTATAAATTCTAACTTCTACCAGTTCGCCATACACCATGAGACTATCACTCAGTTTCATCACAGCGTATTTGTCCTCACACTCAATTTCTTGCACTCTACTAGTTAATACTTCTCACTAGAACTGCACGGGACTTTATTATTCAGTCAGTCACTAGTAAGGATTAGATTAATTTTCAATTGTTGGTTTTCAGAACTTGATTGACTTAAAGTTAGGTCAAGAACAGACTTCAGTTAACTGATGTCACTGACGCACACCACTGAAGACTCCCAAACGAGGCGAAACAGCTATCAAGTACTCTCTGGTTTTTTATGGCTGTTCAACTGAGATCAGTGCGTGACTTGACTTCATATTAGTCAAATCTCTGCGGATCAACATTTCGAGAGATTAATATTGTGTAAAGAGAAAGTAATCGGTGTTAGCGACTACATGTGAAATGAAAAACACTAACGATGTTGTCTAGCTTCCGTCACCATCATCCAGCATGTGATCTAGCAAAACAAATTTATATGTATTATTCAATAACACGAAAGTGATTTTAAAATTATACAGAATATTTGCAGCCAGAAAGCAGAACTTTAGTTAATTTAAATCAATCAAATTTTCTAGTCCAGAAGAAATAGTGTAACAGAAATTCGACTCAATAGATGTACTACTTTTCCACAGAATCCTCTATATTCAGTACGCAAGAGACAAATTAACACAAATGACGAATCATTTAAAAGAATAAAATAAAAATAGATATGGCGGAAATTTACAAACAATTGATCAACCATATAACATTAAAATAAAAATCTTATCATTAAATAAACCATAGGAACTGACTTGTAGTGTTCTGAAGATTCCGTTTCATTAGAAGGCTCAAAGTAAGGGGTTTGAGCAAAATGAAATGTGTTTGCATCATCACGTTTGACAACTACAAGTGGATAATTAATTTGCCGAGTCCAAGTATCCATGACTAATGTAATGTTAGCACATTTGTTTTCCTCTTTTGCAGCCTACAGTAACAATAACATTGTTTACTGTCAATAACACAAATAAAGTGTAAAATGAAATCTATTGAAATTGGTGTTATACAGGTATTTTTGCTAGGCATCCACTGAAGTAGAGGTTTCAGTAAAGCATGCCTTGATGATTCATAGGTGTTGACTAGCAGCCAAATGTACCTGCATCGTCTAGACTCGAATCCAGTGCCTACTGTTTGGGAAACTAGGTTGCTGAAACACATGAGTCCCAAGTAGGATGTAACGTGTGGCCTTAATTCTAATTCTAGCCACCACCTACTTATGAAAATAATGTCATTTCCAAACAGGTTTCTGCACTGTCATTACAGCAGCTTGTATTTTGAACTAAATGACCTTAAAAATAACAAAGTATTATTCATATCACACAGAATAACCAATGGAGACAGCTTGGATACAGAATACTCTTTGAATTCAAATCATCCGGCTGCAATGAGATGCCTTGTGAACTCTGACCAAGTCTCGCAAATGAAAATATGGCTTGAAAACATTTCACTATATATTTGTATCAAACATTCTTATTTATTTCGATAAAGAAAGGAAGACGAAATTTGCAGTATAAAATGATATCATTCTATTTCACAGGTTCTCATCAGCTGCAGACTACCTGAAATTTCAATGGTTATATAAATGATAATAACATACTTTAATGTTTGATTAGTAGTAGAGAAGAGATAAAATTGACGCATCCAAAAAAGAATGAAAGCATTACAATTTTTAGTTTAAGTTATCATCATCAATTTATACACTTTCAGAGTTGAAAAGAGGAGGTAGGGGTAAGACAGAAAATAGAAAAATTGATTAACAGAAACAGTGTTAGCTTGTAGGTTCACATGGCAACTCCAAAAAACAAAAGCATTTACAGTTTATAAGATTGAGATTTGCTCAGTGAGTTGAGATCACTGATGACTAATCAAAATCAAAATTCAGTTACCAAGGGAGTGAGAGGTTAATCACACTCTCTTTCTGTATGCATAAGTCTGGTTTAAATCGTTTGATTGCGATCGCTTCGGCAAATCTTAGTAAATTTGCTGTCCTTTGTCTATTTAATATTTTGAAGGACTTAGAGATCTCTACGAGATGTCCGGTATCAACAATATTTCTGGTAATTGCACTCTGAGAATATTTGCTTCCTTTCAGGCATAGGTTTCTTGGAATATGTTCAGAAACCTATGCCTGAAAGGAAGCAAATATTCTCAGAGTGCAATTACCAGACATATTGTTGATACCGGACATCTCGTAGAGATCTCTAAGTCCTTCAAAATATTAAATAGACAAAGGACAGCAAATTTACTAAGATTTGCCGAAGCGATCGCAATCAAACGATTTAAACCAGACTTATGCATACAGAAAGAGAGTGTGATTAACCTCTCACTCCCTTGGTAACTGAATTTTGATTTTGATTAGTCATCAGTGATCTCAACTCACTGAGCAAATCTCAATCTTATAAACTGTAAATGCTTTTGTTTTTTGGAGTTGCCATGTGAACCTACAAGCTAACACTGTTTCTGTTAATCAATTTTTCTATTTTCTGTCTTACCCCTACCCCCTCTTTTCAACTCTGAAAGTGTATAAATTGATGATGATAACTTAAACTAAAAATTGTAATGCTTTCATTCTTTTTTGGATGCGTCAATTTTATCTCTTCTCTACTACTAATCAAACATTAAAGTATGTTATTATCATTTATATAACCATTGAAATTTCAGGTAGTCTGCAGCTGATGAGAACCTGTGAAATAGAATGATATCATTTTATACTGCAAATTTCGTCTTCCTTTCTTTATCGAAATTTATCAAGGGAACCAGTTGTATGAAATTCTTATTTATACCTGTTCGATAACTTTAAGTTACTAACTCCTGTTATATTAAGGTATCTGTTCATGGAGTGCATATACGAAACACAGATGACCAATTTGGTTAGATGTATCAATGGGAAATCATCAAATAAGTAACTTTACATTAATATCAATAATAATAATAAGGCATTATTCCAGACAATATGTGAACACATGGTACAGAAATTTTCAGCGTCCCAAAATACTTCGTCTTTCTATAGGATTTACATGTAAAGTCATAATCTGAAGTACGTCATGTGACATGGTTATATTGAATATGAAAAGAAAACCAATTCTGTACATTTTCATTTCCTTCTAGAGTTGTGCATCATTTCGTTGAAAGCTAATGAAATATGTGAGCGAGTTTATATAGAGATCATTTGATATAACTGCATGATTGAAATAAAAAGAAGTACTGTAGAGATTAAACATAACGGAGGTTGGAAACTCTGGTAGCTTTTTGATTTAAGCAGGCCGACGTTATCAATCTTAGCTCAGAGAAGCGATTCAAGCGACTAACTCATAAAGAGAACAACGCGGTTATATTTAACCAATAATTTAACCTTCACTACTTCTATTAGCAAACAAAAATTATGGATAGAATGCAATTTTGTAAAAATAGATGAATCATTCTGAGAAAACCTTTCAGCTGTTTGCTGCAGTGCTGACAAGGATTCCGTGAATGGCCATTTCCTTCTTAGAACTCACTGACTAACACAGAGAAAGGACAGTCCTGTTTACTATTAAACAATGCTACATGTTATTAATACTAAAACAGAAAAATAGTAGCAGATAATACTGTTTCACTGCATCTTGTATACATAATTCAGTTGCAATTTACTGTATTCCATTCAGCCAAGACCAACTGCTAAGTAAATGAAGAAAGTGTGATTGTGAGAAAACGGAATTATGCTTTCCACAAATAATCACTTGCTATCAAATGTATAACAGTATAATATTTTATTCTTTGAATGAATTAATCTACTCGAATATTTATTTGCACACAGTAACTCACTTTCTCCAGTGCCTCCCACAAATCTTTATCGTCAGCCGTGCCATATTTGTGTTCAACTAAGTAATTCTTGGCAGACACGCGAAACACAGAATTAACGAGAAAAGAGAAAACACATTTATTTAAAGGGAATATATCACATGGATATCATAAACAGTGTATGAAAATTTAAATTTCTGATGCCTTAAAAGAACTTACTTAGATTATGACTAATAGTCGCTTGGCTCTCTTTTTTCTAGATCAACCTACCCAGATATTAAGGTTAAAAATAAGTGTCTGTGAAAGAAGCGACATATTTGAAAGCTATGGAAATGAGACAGACATAACACTGGCATACCTTGATATCACCCCAGAGCAACAGAAAGTGGAATTATATGCCTCTGACGAACAACTACTAGAGGAATACGGAAATTCATCAGTCTTTATGTTGCTTCTAAGGTGAGTGGTGATTGACAGTGTCTCTTATTCTAGTTACATTACTGTTAAGGTAAAGCCAGAGATGCCATAGAAGAACACATCATACTCTCACCTTCGTCGGTTTGAAGCGCCCTTTTGGACAGACTTGTGAAGGAAGAAGGATCTTGCTATCGGATTTTATGGAATGTCCGAAAATAGAACGCGGCAATGCTAAAGCTATATCGAGAGTTGCTATTAAGATGGAAAAATATATTAATTACTTTGCAGACTTAAATTCACTGAGTACCCTGGAATGCCTACTGATAAAACTGTCCCCTGTGCTGCAAATGAAATAATCAAAACCAAAACTGTTGGGAGCTGAGTCAAAACAGTTTACGTTTGCCCCGCAGAAGCATCTTACTGAGTAGATTTGAAAAAATGGCAACAGGACAGCCTGTTCTCCACAGCAGTTGGAACCTGTTGTGGCTAATCTGTCTACCAGAATAGCTAAGAGGCACTGTGCAATGTGTGGGGGAGGCCACAAAATCACTAGATGCTCGTTATTCTTGTCAATTTCTTCAAATTAAAGGTGATCAAAGACTAAGGAGGTTGGACTTTTTTCTCTTGCCTCAGTAAAGGTCACATTTTCGAAATCGTTGGAATTTTGACTGTGCATGGCTCATGAAAATGTGGCTAGCTATGCAGAAAAACTCATAGATTGTTTTCTTGCGTTATGATCAAAATACTTGGGTTCTGGTTATCCATTCAATGAAAGTTACTGTGTAGAATAGATTACCTTTATCGTTACCGAGTCGTTATTAATCGATCCTTATATGCACTAATGAATTTCTGTGAAAACCATTCAAATAACCAAATGAAGTTCTATTCATCCTTGAATATATACAAAAGAATTACTCACTGAACTTAGCCGTTTTCATACTCCATCTCTTTTCACAGACCAATAAATGATAAATGACTAGTATATATTATATATATCACCAATGATATTCCTAATTGTGGTGGACTGGATTATACGTCAGACAGTGGGAAACGAGAAGACAGGGATATCCTGGACCGACGTGAAGAACCTAGAAGACCTGGATTTCGCGCTTGGATGATTTATGTTTGATGTCACACAAAATCGAAGACTTACAAGCAAAAACCGACAAACTGGTCGAAGAAGCAGCAAAGACAGGACTCCAGGTGAACATAGACAAGACGGAGGTTATGAAAATAACCAACCAACAACAGCAGCAACATCCAGTGCCAATCACCATCAACGGGAGGGATTTGAAAGAGGTTACTTCTTCCACTTATCTAGGAAGCATTGTCTCAACCACAGGAGGAACGGACGAGGATGTCAAATCGAGAATCGGGAAGGCGAGAAACACATTCATCAACCTGAAACCAATCTGGAAATCTTCGTCACTCAGCATCAACAACAAAATTCGGATTTTCAATACAAACGTCAAGTCAATTTTGCTTTACGGATCAGAAACTTGGCGGGTCACCAAGAATTTTTTTCAACAGGTTGCAGACCTTTATCAACAACTGTCTTCGTTCTATACTGAAGATTAGATGGCCGGAAAGAATCACAAACAAGAAGCTATGGGAACAAACAAAACAGGAACCAATCGCCCAGCAAATATGCAGGAGAAAGTGGAGATGGATTGGACACTCGCTGAGGAGGCCGTTGGGTGATATCGCGCGTCAGGCCAGTGCTCGAGTGGAACCCGAAAGGGAAGCGGCGAGTGGGACGTCCAAGGGTGACATGGAGGAGATCGTGCGAAGAGGAATTGAAACAGTATGGATTAACATGGATGCAGGTAAAAAGTACAGCAGAAGACAGAAACAAGTGGAGACGTTTAGTTGAAGCCCTACGTTCCACTAGGAACCCAAGGGAACAGTAATAATAATATATTAAATTATACAGAATAAATTGTGAACAGAATACTATTCTTTATTAGTTGTCATCAGAATGAACTTAAGACAGAAAATCACAGTATCAAATAGAAAAGAAGAAAATAATGAATAGATTTTCAAGGGAAAACTCACTTTTACACCATCCAGAAATGCCTTGTGCCCTACAAACGACTGTACCATTCGCATAAGAGATGCTGCCTATAGAAGATTAAAAATAATAAAAGTGTTTGAATTGTATTTAAGTTACTCTACTTTACATTGTTTATAAACAAAAGTAATAAAATTAATAAAATTAATGCAGCGTACTTTCTTTTGATTCGACAGCCTTTCTTCTCATAAGCGATCATCTGAAGGACAAACTAACAACTGCATTAAACTAGTATTCCTTTCGAGATTGAAAGTGAATCTCATTTAGTCCAAAAGTTGAACTCTTTACCATTTGGATGTTGTTCAAATCACAAAGGCTACTCTACTCATTAGTTAAGCACACAAAGTGATTGTCCAATGCAGACCAAAATATTTGGTCTTGGGAGCATATGTATCAATGAAATATGCTGATTTAGTATTGTTCAATAAATGTTACTGATAATGAAAATTGAGCTATATTACAGTTTAAATAACCACATAAGAGAAGCAAAACTAACCTTATCATATAAATAAACTCCGAAAGTATTTTCAACCTCTTCCGGATAATCTATCCTCTGACTAAGTGGCGGTGATATCAAAGATGAATCGAAATACAAAGCATTTTGTGTAACATCCAGTGGGAAATTATCAATCTGAATATGTAAAGAAAGATTTATCAGTCAGACGTTAAGCTAAATATCAGATATGCATAAATAAAGGTTATGAAAATTTTAATGGAGAATGTTTTGTTTTACAAACTCTTTCACTTTCTTAAATAAATACAACCACTTTTAAAGAAAACAACAGTCCCGATTTTATTCCTAATTGATTAATTTTGCTTATAAACTGACCTCAAATGACAACTATTTACACCTTACCATATTCTTATTATTATTATCATTGTTTCCTTTAATTCCTAGAGGAATATAGGGCATCAGCTACGCGTCTCCATTGCGTTCAGTTCTCTGCTAGAGTCTTCACCTGGCTCCATGTCTGCCCACACGTTTTCATCTCCTCTTCACATGACCTCCTCCAAGTCACCCTCACCCTTGCACTGACGACCAACTCGCCGCCGCTTCCTTTTCGGCCGGGTTCCACTCGAGCAATGGCTTGTCTAGTGATGTCACTTGCTGGTTTCCTCAGAGTGTGGCCAATCCATCTCCATTTCTTCCTGCCTATTTGTTTCACAATCGGTTCCTGGTTGGTTCGCTCAATGCCAGAGATCTCTGTTGCTGATCCTTTCCGGCCATTTGATCTTGAGTATTGAGCTAAGACATCTGTTAATGAAGGTCTGTAGCTTGTTTGAGGTGCTCTTTGTGACACGCCAAGTCTCTGATCCGTATAGTAGTACTGACTTCACATTGGAGTTGAAAATCCCGATCTTATTTTTGACGCTGAATGATGTTGACCTCCACACAGACTTGAGAGTAATGAAAGCTTGTCTTGCTTTCCCGATCCTTGCTTTGATATCCTCGTCAGTTCCGCCCGCCTGTAGTTGAGACGATGCTTCCCAGGTAGGTAAAGGAGGTAGTTTCTTTCAGGTTTCTTCCATTTATGCTGATTGCTGTCAGTTGTTGTTGCTGTGGCTGTTGGTGTTGGCCAGGGATCTTCATCACCTCCGTTTTCTCTATGTTCACCTGGAGTCCTATCTTTGATGCTTCTTCTGCCAACTTATTACTTTTCACTTGCATATCTTCCAGTTTGTGGGAAATCAGACATATATCATCGGCGAAGTCCAAATCCTCCAAGTTCTTTGTGTGAGTCCATTTTATGCCTGTTTCCTCATTGCCCACTGTTTTTCGCACTATCCAGTCTACTGCAATCAGGAAAATCATTGGGGATAGTAGGCAGCCTTGTCTTACTCCTGTCCTTACTTCGAAGGGTTCCGTAAGTTTCCCGTTGTGGATTACTTGGCATGCAGCGTTGTCATACAACTGTTGGATGAGATGTATAATTGTCGGTGGCACCCCGTAGTAGCGAAGTAGTTGCCAAATCACCTCTCGATCGACGCTGTCGAAGGCCTTTTCAAAGTCGATGAAGTTGAGATAGAGAGGTGACTGCCATTTCAGGCTTTGTTCAATGATGATGCGTAATGTGGCGATCTGATCAATGCATGACTTGATTCTCCTGAATCCAGCCAGTTCCGGTCGAAGTTTTTCATCCAGGGCATGTTTGATTCTCTCCAGGATGATGCGGCTTAGTATTTTGCTAGGGATCGCGCATTAACCATATTCTTATGTTTGTTTTTAATAATTTTAAAATGTAAATTATAAACAGAACGTATCAGGTAAACACTCGAGAAATTAACTGTAACTCCCACTATCTACCAGATAGGCTTTTATGAGTGAATACAGAGACGTCTACGTAGCATAACCTATAAATACTGACATTAAACATAAAATTAAGCGTGAATAAACTCGCGTCACGTAAAGTGTAACAGATGATTTGCTGCACTTCATTGGAAATCAAATGAAGAATACTTTTATTTTTAGGAGTAAAACCTTCCATCCATATTCAATAACATTTTGAATAATCAGATAAATACTCCAGGCTTACCGCTTTCCATTTCGGATGAATGTGACTTATCCCAGCATATTCAAAGAATATAGCTAGACCTTCATTCACCCATAAATTATCCCACCATTTCATTGTAACAATATTACCGAACCACTGAAATAGAAAGTAAGAATATTTGCAAAGTAATCGTGACAAGTTGTTTGAAATCAGTTTTATTTTCCCAGAATTAACAGAAGTACATTTTCCTTAACCATGTAGATGAATTGTAAATAAATAGAACAAATCAGAAAAATGGAAACTGATAGCCTTCAAATAGGTGCTTTTTGAAAATGCCATGTGTAGTAAAGAGTTTGTATAACGCCTTTTGTCATAACCACTGATTTGTGGTGTGGATGGTAAAATTTCTGAATGTAAAGATACTTAGCAATCTCACAATAATCTCTCTTTATTATCTTGTCTGCCTAACTCTCAAAACTACACCATTATCTTTTTTTGTACTGCTCCTGACATGAGTTCTAGATCATTGAATAAATAAAACTCACTTCGTTTCATTATCATAAATAGCAGTCAGTTTGCTCAGCATTTTTTCCACACATGTGAAAATAAGCCAAAATTACTACTGAGTGTGCTTGGATGTTTCAGGGGTAGAATGCTAGACAGCCACACACATGGTTTGGGGTTCAGTTCTCGGCCAACACACCCCGAAACCTTTCCTAACGCGTAGCGAGCCCAGGTAAACAGGGGTGAGGAGTGGGCTTGAGGTTAGCAAATTCACCTTATAAATACAACATAAGCTCTATTGAAACTTTTAAAGCCCTATTTTCAACTCGGAACACAGAGGAATGAAGAAGATATATTTTACTGAAGCAGACCTAGTGAGTGCCTAATAAATAATAACAGTGAATTTAGTCTTAGTATTATACGTAAATCAATATAATTGTACACAAGTTGAATCGACGTGTAAATTACCTGACGAGCAATTTTATAGGATAAAATAGAAGACACCAAAATCTGTGAAGCAGCTGAATCAGTTTCAGGATTGCATTGTATTTCCGATTCTCGAAGTGTTATTAAACCCAGGTTTTGTCCTCCTTCGTAATCAACATCTGGGATTGCAACAATATCTGAATTTCCAAAAGAATATTACGTGAAGTTCATTGGGAAGTTTTTATATCATTGAAAATATCCATTAGAACATTGGAGAGAAAGACTACAGGGATAATATTATGAAAACTTATTACTATTACTCTATTCCTAAAATGTACTAATTTGACTAAATTAGACAACAAGAGAAATGCTTCAGTAGATTCGATAATCTATGAGACTTAAAGTCATGTTACCTATTTATTCTCCTTTAAAATCTGCTTCCATATTGAAAGCACTTGAACTTATCCCAGTTAAACAAATTTCTTTATGTATTTGTCTTGAATAATATGTGATAATAGCATAACACCTGATAGCCTTCTCATATTTTGTGTACTAATCAATTATTATTATTATTGTTTCCTTTAATTCCTAGAGGAATATACGGCTTCAGACGTGAGTCTCCATTGCGCTCGGTTCTCTGCTACAGTCTTCACCTGGCTCCATGTCTGTCCACACGTTTTCATCTCCTCTTCACATGACCTCCTCCAAGTCACCCCACTCTCGCACTGACGACCAACTCGCCGCTTCCCGTTCGGCCGGGTTCCACTCGAGCAATGACTTGTCTAGTGATGTCACTTGATGGGTTGTTTCCTTAGAGTATGGCCAACCAATCCATCTCCATTTCTTCCTGCCTATTTGTTTCACAATCGGTTCCTGCTATGTTGGTTCGCTCAATGCCAGAGATCCCTCCCCGTTGCTGATCTTTTCCGGCCATCTGGTCTTGAGCAGTATTGAGCGAAGACAACTGTTAATGAAGGTCTGTAGTTTGTTTGAGATGCTCTTTACGACGCGCAGTGCAAGTCTCTGATCCGTATAGTAGCACTGAATGACTTCACATTGGAGGTGAAAATCCGGATCTTATTTTTGATGCTGAGTGCTGTTGACCTCCACACAGACTTGACGTGAGTAGTGAAAGCTCGTCTTGCTTTTCCGGTTCTTGCTTTGATATCCTCGTCAGTTCCGCCCGCCTGTAGTTGAGACGATGCTTCCCAGGTAGGTAGGTAAAAGAGGTTGTTTCTTTCAGGTTCCTTCCATTTATGCTGATTGTTGTCTGTTGTTGTGGTTGTTGCTGTTGGTGGTGTTGCCCAGGAATCTTCATCACCTCTGTTTTCTCTATGTTCACCTGAAGTCCTATCTTCTCCGGATGCTTCTTCTACCAACTTGTTGCTTTTCGCTTGCATATCTAAACAATGAGTCACTCCTACATATGTGATATGATAACACCATCTGGTTGTATGGGTTTCAGTAAGCAGAGGAGGTAAGGACTTATGATGCAGTTAAGAAAAATTAATTTCCTCAGTCAGTATGCAAAATTTTCGTGTATAAAACTAAATAACACGATATTTTTTAAGTCAGTCTGTTGGTTAATTGGACCGACATATAAGGCCTCTGTTAACATATCGGCTCCTAGTATGGATGCTTCGATGATTTCTGAAGAATAACTTGAGGTAAGCTGAAGAGAGAGATTAGCAGAGAAATCCAGGATGAGCATTTTCTCTTGTTCGGGATTCGTCGGTTTTTAATATAATTAATCCCTTTTGCGAGAAACAATACTAACTTTATCTTGAAGACTGTGTATTGCTGGAGAAAATAGTTATTTTTCAGTCTCATTCTATATTGTAATTTGGTTATTGAAAGTAACTAACAGATTACCTCTCCTATTTGTTTCTGTTGCACATTGACTGAAGTTGAAAATCATACACTGCTGGGTGTAGAAACAGTGTCAGAATAGTAACTGACTCTTTGAAAGACGTGATGAGACTGATTTTAAGGTAACATGAAGTTATGAGTTTGCATCCATCCGAAGTTCAACTAGGCTTTTTGGGGATGATAAAACAGTTTATTTCATGAAACCTGATACAAAGGGCGTAAGGTTTCGGCATTCATGCATGGCGGAGGCGCTGGCAATTCGTCAATACAACCCCGAACTCTGTATGCAGAATAGGTTTGTCCAGTCCCTTATTCTACCTTCGTCTTAACCTCTTCACTAGTCGTTCCCTGTAAAAAATTTTAATTATTTTACCTTTCACTTTTACTTTTAGTTTGCTTTTACTTTAATAATTAATTCACTATTATCACTCTCATAAGTTCCTTTTGTACATTTTCACACCCTCTTCACACTTGTCAAATTGACACTCAACTACCTTTATTCTCACTCAATAGCAATTTTAGCCTTATCAAATTTCTAACTCTTTCTTCCTTTGTATCGTTGCGTACTACGTAATTTACAACTTTTACTTTTAAGCCACTTCTGTGTAATTATTTCAGTTATGTTACTCCTCTATAACTCACTATCATGCCACTATACATTTTGGTAAATACGAATACGGCTGTACAGCCTCTGAAGATGATTTCGTCGATAAAGAAAATTTTCTTCTCTGAATTGTCTTTTATTTTATTCATGACTCCATGGGTATTTTCGATGACTAACTCAATATATTAATTTTTCAGTGAAGATTTAGTCGGGAAGTGACATCAGCTAAAGAATTATTGAAAATCAGGGATCACTGGATGGCTTTTTAGTCATAGTTTCATAGTCGGTTGATAATTTAGCTACTCATTTAACAACCAGTGAAACGTTATTGAGCAAGATGTTCAGCAGATTCACCACGCCATCTGAAGGTACTGTATACAATCTCTTATTGAGTCATGGGTGTGCACCATCAAAGCATCCGAAACTATGAATAAATACCAGTTCGATACTTTCTAGTTTTCAAAGACTTTCTAAAGGATATCAGTTAGGCACGAAATCTACATCGGAGCTAATCAAAATTTCCACAAAACCCAAAACCTGAAAATTAATAATCCACATGAAATTTAGAGTGTGACACATTTTCATTCACTTATCTGTCAAGCATAGAGGATAAACTCACCCAACTTTTTAAGTGGATAAGGGACACCAAAGTAATTTTCGAAAAATACAATCAATCTTGTAGAAATATTGAGTACATAATTGGCGAACTGTAGTCCCTCTTGACTGCCCCAAAATGTAAACTGTATGAAAGAAAAATGTATTTATGAGAGAAACAAAACGAAACTTGATCCGAATAAAATTCAATGAGAGCATTATTCATCAACATGCGTTACTATGCATTCACTGTCGTTCATTATTATTCACTTTGTTATCTTACTTTCAGTTTGGTGTTATACGTCCAGGTACTGTCACGTACATAAGTTTCGAAATGTAGACTAGTAATAGTTTGCCTACATTTACCATTTGGACTTTTGATCTTAACGACTGGATATGATTTGACTTTTTTCAAACATTATATAACTCTAGAACTTGAAGAATGAGTTACAAGAAATAATATTCTTCTTCCACTAATCAGTATCTTGAAGAAAAACCCAAGATTTTCATCAGCGTAACGAAAATTTCATAAATATTTTAATGATTATCTTGTAAAATAGGGATAAAATTTTGTTTATACATAAATTTGATATTTATAAAATCTAATGTTTTTATCAAATAGAAAACAGATTTAGTGATCCCAAGTGAGTTCATAGATGAACACTGTTCAGGAGTTGTTAACCTAATCGAGACAGTTTTTCAGTGTCCCTTAATGACAGTCTAACAGCTATCGGATCTTGGTGATGTTCACCTTAAAATTACAGAGGGATTATGTGAAGCAAAGTAGTAAATATTAATTTTAATACACAGCCTATCGTGTATTGTCAGAATTTCTTTTGGATAAATTAACAACTGAAAGCAACATTCTATTGATTTGTTAAATTTAAGACTCATAATACGTCCCGAATAAATCGGTAGAGATGCATAGGCAGATTTATCATTATTATTCGTTATATGTGTTTCAAGTGGGAAAAGGGCCTCGGCGGTACATTTTTACTGCACTCAGTTATCCCTTATCACAAGCTTTTATTACCTCTTCACACTATCTTATCCATGTTACAATTAAACGTCTAACTTGCCATTTCCCATTCGGGTTCACGAGAAGACCTGGCTCCTTACATCATTCCACAGTCACCTAAACGTGTTTCCAATCCACCTGTGTTTCCTTCTGTATATTTGTTAGGTGACAGTTTCTTAGTTGATTCGTCGCTAGAGTTCATTGTTCCTTATCGTCTCTGGCTATGGCCCAACTTAGTGATTCCGATTAGGATAATAATTTAAGAGTCGGAAGGGTGAAGCCACTTGAAAGAAAATAGTCTGTGCATTCATATTAAGCACGTTCTTATTTTATCTTTCCCTTGGCTAAAAATGATTTAACAAAAAAAAATTAACCATTGAGATTTTTCACCCCATTATAATTCTTTGGTTGGTTCATACATTTACGACATTTTATAGTTGTTTGAACAGATTTATTGTCGGACACTTCACTAAAGTACTCCATGAAGTCTGAAAGTCACTCAAAGAAAAATGAATGAATAAAACCTTTCCTTGCAGCTTGTTTAGTTATTTGTGGTTATTTTTCGTCATGAATTATTACAATACAGTCTACTGCTCCTATATTTACAATATGATTTACAACCACTGTATGTAGTTCAAGTTACACATTTCAATGGAGACAGCATAACAACGAATAATCAGCAGATATTCATTATCTAAAAATCAGTTAGTGGATGGTGATTAGCAGTGGAATCCAGCATGCGCATTTCGTCCTATTTGGGACTCGTCACTGAATATACTGGTATCCTACTAAGTAATACAATACTTTCTTTAATTGCGTTAAGCATCTCTTCTGTACACTTTTTAAAGTCATCCTCTAAAAGAAACACAAAAATTTTCAAAGTTTCTGAACCCAAACTGGCTATTGCCTTGGCAAATTTACTAAAATAATTATCATTTACTATCACAAGTAAAATAGAAGTTTAAAGGATACAGGGGTCAGCAATTCATATACATAGTTTTTTTTTACTTTCACTTACAATCCTTTCTTTTGAATCTGTTATTCGTTTTGGGGAAAGCTGTGAAATAACAATTGTCAAAAGATATGTTGATATGTTTTCACTTGGTTGATAGCTGTCAAGGCACCAATCACCAAAGAGTGCTTGAGTTTTATTCAAGGGCATATTCGAAAGTGAACTATAATCTTTATGACGTATGATGTTAACCTGAAAGATAACAATTAGATAGTAAGTAATAAACTTCAAAAGGAAATCGGAATTTCATACACTCTTATGTATGATAGCTGGTTTCAGTGTATAACAGAATTCTACGTCCTGCATAAATATTTCACCAACAAGTTTATGATAAATCTGTCTGCAAGGCTTACAAGGTGAACATAGAGAAAACAGAGGTGATGAAGATTCCTGGACAAGAACAACAACAACAGACAACAATCAGCATAAATGGAAGGAACCTGAAAGAAACAACCTCTTTTACCTACCTACCTGGGAAGCATCGTCTCAACTACAGGCGGGCGGAACTGACGAGGATATCAAAGCAAGAACCGGAAAAGCAAGACGAGCTTTCACTACTCACGTCAAGTCTGTGTGGAGGTCAACAGCACTCAGCATCAAAAATAAGATCCGGATTTTCACCTCCAATGTGAAGTCATTCAGTGCTACTATACGGATCAGAGACTTGCACTGCGCGTCGTAAAGAGCATCTCAAACAAACTACAGACCTTCATTAACAGTTGTCTTCGCTCAATACTGCTCAAGACCAGATGGCCGGAAAAGATCAGCAACGGGGAGGGATCTCTGGCATTGAGCGAACCAACATAGCAGGAACCGATTGTGAAACAAATAGGCAGGAAGAAATGGAGATGGATTGGTTGGCCATACTCTAAGGAAACAACCCATCAAGTGACATCACTAGACAAGTCATTGCTCGAGTGGAACCCGGCCGAACGGGAAGCGGCGAGTTGGTCGTCAGTGCGAGAGTGGGGTGACTTGGAGGAGGTCATGTGAAGAGGAGATGAAAACGTGTGGACAGACATGGAGCCAGGTGAAGACTGTAGCAGAGAACCGAACGCAATGGAGACGCACGACTGAAGCCCTATTTTCCTCTAGGAATTAAAGGAAACAATAATAATAATAAGGCTTACAAGTCAAACGACATGCATAATTAGTTTTAAGTTAGTGTAAGTGTTAAAATGCACTTTTCGTTTGACTGAGTTGTTATGTTATTACATAACTGGTTTTTAGCTTCCAGTTGCAATAATGAAAGAAGCTGATGACACTGTTTTCAATGTCATGTGACAAGTCGTATAGTGTTATGAAATTGTAGCGATTCATAATGGGATGTGAGAAGCATTCAGCTTTAGTAGAAGTTTTGGAGCCTGACAGTGTAGACTTTCTCTGCCAGTTTCATTAACTCTTAAAACCAGACCCACAACTGAGGCATATCAATAATGAGATATACACATATATAAATATGTGTGCAAAGAGAGTGCAACATACATGCGAACAACAGTTTTCAGATAGTATATCAGAATGTGTTTCTTTCAGTTTTGTAGGAAATCTGCCTAAGTTAACGTGAAATATACTTTTGAATTCCAATAGTTTAGAAGTTTGTCTTGGAATTACGAAACAACCATGAAAAATGGTATGTAAGTAGTAGCAGTAAGATAATTTTATCTCTAAAAGTGAAAATGTAGGAGGACCAATTTTAATTTTCTAAATCAATGTGAGTATAAACAGGCTGATGCAAAATGTAAGTAAAGATTATGATCTTATTGGTCAACGAGCTAGCCTTGTAGCCAGAAGGTTCTGGGTTCGAACTCTGGAGGTGGGGGCATACTGATGAAGCAGACCAAACTAGGCTGACGAAACAGCTATCCAATACTCCCAGAGTTTCCAGTGGTTCTCTAACCGATGTCAGCTCATGATGAAATCCAGTAACCAATCAATCAAATCCCTACAAACCAATAATTGAATAAGTAAAAACTAATTTCTCACCTGAAATTGTGCTTTGTATATAGGCTCATCCCAACATGGAAAAAGACGTCTAGCATGTGTTGGCTCTGTTGTAGTGGTTACTATAAAACTGTAAAATATAAAATGAATAGACAAAAATAGAATAAGTAATGCAGCATAACTCAATGATGACTGAATATCTTCAAGTCACATATTGCACACTGATACTATGTGTGAACAAATAACCGCATCAGAATTGCATTAAATGCTAAAACAAGCATTCCTTATATATTACATTGAGCTTAGAAAAACAAAAGGAGTAGAAGGAAGAGTTTCCATGGCAACATTTAGTCAGAAATCATATTTCTCACCTATTACTCTTCTCATATATGGTCCATGTAATGTATGAAGATTTCTGAATATCCATTACATTTATTATGTTTACAGACCTCCATTTATTTAATTTTTATACCAGTTACTACTTTGCAACGGACTTATTTATCAAACTGTTTTTAATTTTTTATAAATCAGAGGAACCTGAGGCCAGGAAATGCAAGGAAGCCATGCCTAAATGACGTTAATCGAATATATTTACGTGTATTTGTATAATGACAGTTCAAGGAAGTCTGAATGAAAGGTGGTAAACAAATAACTTGGATGGATATGTATTCACTTTCAGTGGCACAGAAACTATACACACACACATACACTACAAATTAAGGAACTGATTGTCACTAATCAACATGAGCTACTGGTGACTACTATCTAAATTTGCCTAGGGATTACCTTTAAAATGAGGCTTATAAACTTGAATCAAACCATTTTGTAGGAAATCATGCATTCCAATAAGTAAATCTCTTCGTCTCCTCACTGGAAACTGTGGGAAAACTGAGTTGTTTGGATGGTGTTTCCTTGTAACTTGCTGAGATATTATTCAGCGCATACCTCTTAGATATCGTCTAGATGAAAGGTAAGAAAAGGAATTCCAAAGTCGAAATTGTAATTTGATTCCTTACGAAGCAAAGAGTTTAACGGGGTAATTAGCTATACACACATCTAGGTGAACAAAGAACAGGACGGCTCTGTAAGTTTAAAGTAAGTTAAAAATAGCTTAATTATTTCTGCTAGAATAGATATTAAAAATAAAGCAAAAACCTACTCTACAACACATCATAACTTTTATTCAATCTAACCACTTGTGATAGAGCGCTAACAGCACTTGTAAATGACCTGTGAACCGCAATAAACCTCCGAAACCTTTAAAAAGTTGTGTTGAGTAAGCCAGACGACAAAACAATTAACTTGTTTTAAGTTAAAATATGATTATATGCATCCATATCAAAGGTGTAGTGAATTTTCTGGAATAATTTGAGTGTCAGATCAAACTAAATCATCACAAAATTAATCTAAATAATTTTATAATAGCTGAAATTACATGATTTAGTAAAATATCACATCCAGGTAAGGTGTATTGCTAGTTCACCCAAGTAGCTAGCCATAAATCGGGTGGTGTGAACCTATTTAGCTCTCTAGGCTGAGTCACACCGGGTGCACTGCTGGTGCTCTTGGATCCAATGAACCGAAACGGTCATCCAGTCTTTAAACTGCTTTGATCTGGATACCTATCACGACTGGTTGATAAGAGTGGTAGGCCACTACTCATCTCAATCAACCAGTAGTGTATAGTGTCATGCATTTATGCTTCCTTCCTTGGTTGCCATTTATGGTATCAGCCAGATCACATACTGTGATTTGAATAATTTTGGTTGCCAAGGTAACCTGTGGTAAAATCTCATTTTGAATCGTGTAAAGAGCAATTCACTAATTAATTTGCGAATTTGATTCAAAATAACATGGTTTAGTGATGTATGACACCTAGGCATGGTAGTCTGGCTAGAGTTTTCAAATATTTTCAAGTATTGGTTTGGTAGGGATTTTGTTTAATTGTATGGAGGATTTCATCATGAGCTGGTATTAGTTAGAGAACCATTGGAAAACCTGGGAGTACTGGACAGCTGTTTCGCCCTAGTTTAGGACTCTTCAGCGGTACGCGCCCACCGGGATTCGAACCCAGGACCTTCTGGTTACAAGGCGAGCTCGTAGACCATTGAGCCACTGGGACCCGATCCAATGGTTCTTGAATTCTAACTTCTGCCAATTCACGGGGTTCTAGTGGGAAGCCGTGACCAGTAGGGTACAGCAGGTTGAAGATGAGGCAGTAACTCATCGAAGAAGACATTGCGAAATGGTCGCGCTATGTCGTGAATTGGCAGAAGTTAGAATTCAAGGACCATTGGATCGGGTCCCAGTGGCTCAATGGTCTACGAGCTCGCCTTGTAACCAGAAGGTCCTGGGTTCGAATCCCGGTAGGTGCGTACTGATGAAGAGTCCTAAACTAGGGCGAAACAGCTACCCAGTGCTCCCAGGTTTTCAAATATTGCTTCACAAAGCAGTTTCACCGTTTTCTTGTTTTTGTAAATGTTTACAATGATCTAACCTGAGATAACTCGTAAAAACAAATGTAATCCTTACATACCAACTCTTGAAAATTAACCTGAATGAGTTTCTTTACACAATGTATCTTAAACACTCTACTTTTGAAGTGACAGAATTTCAGCTACCGGAGTTAAACAAAAGGAGTTATATTCTTTTTGATTATGTTTGTAATATCAAAACTTACTTGTGTGTACCATTTGTCATATAATCAGTCAAATATAAACCTTCTGGTGCATAGCCTCTACGTAATCTAAATCGACCAAATGTCAAATTGTAGTAAGTATTTGGTTTTAATGGAGACTGCAGTTCTATGCGATACTGATCAGTTTCTCTATTATGAGAAATGCGTTTAATGTCAACTTTCTCAGGGTTCCCATTCCAAGGAGATATCTGATAAGAGAAGAGTACAGTAATGAAACTCAATTCAGTTATTTGGTTTGCCTTAAAAGTAGAAATGTAAAATCCATCAGATTTACTGGATGGGATAAACAAGCTCAGATTAAAACAAGAAACACTTTTATGTATCCAAACATCCATTATCTTTTTATATTCACTGATACGGTTAGCCTGAGATTCGAATCACTGTAAAATATATTTAAACCACTGAAAATACATTATGCATATTCACAGTCAGAGTGGTAAACACAATGGCAATTAAATAACAACATATGTCATCGTTAATAAATTTCATTTGGCAAGAAGGAGATAATCTCAGGAGGGTTGTTGTTTTATCTTGTGATGCTCTTCACAGGTTTTTAGAATCCTCAGTATAAAACATGTCTCAGCATGCCTACTGAAAACGTCGACAGTAGTGATGATCTATTGTCAGCTTCCTTTCCTACTGGAAGTCTCTTGTAGCACATTCGAAGGAAAAAAATTACGATACATTGCTTCATGAGTGATCAAATCCTGTGTAAGATTTTCCTGTTCATGCTACTCGTAAATCAGCGTGAAAACACTCGGTGATTGTTTCTATAAAGGATATACTGAAACAAAACTGACTTATGATATCTTACGAAACATTCATATGTGTTGCACATTTCAATTTCATTGTAACAGCAAGGAAAAATTTGTATCTGGAGAATTATATAAGATGCATTAGTTATGGTACTCTCTGCAAGCTTTTCAAACATTGGTTAATTTAAAGAATTACGATATTTTCGTTGCTACCGACTTAGTACCCATGCATAGTTATGTCATGCAAGGTTGGTGATAATGATTTCTGTTATCAAAACGTAATTTTTTGTCAACAAAACGAATGGATAATATCAAACGTTCATTACAGATTTACAAATCGTGTATCTCTAAAATGACTGTTGGCATCGTCTAAATATTCTACTTTCTGTATCTCACAGAGAACCATAAACTGAAAGCTTGTTAATTTGCAACTGACTTCACTTGCAGATAATCGCGGTTGTCATACTGAGAATAACGTTTGCTGAACACGTGAAACCCTGTAAGAGGAGGTTCTGTACATCAAGAAGACTGTTAAAGACAAAACATATCGGTGGAAATGGTAAACGGTTTAAAGTCATACTTCTGATGGCTACTTTCACTGTCTTTTCATTTAAACTTGGTTAATATACACCATTAATAAGAAGTAATTACTGTGGATCCTGTGCTCATTATATACATCACCAAGCAATTATGATTATTTATTATTTCATTCCATTTATGTTCAGAGTGGAACATGGGGCATCAGACTTCAAGATTTGAAGTTTCAGTAGAACTGGTTTTATTTTTATTATGTGGGGTTGCTAGCCTCATACTTGACCTTTCCTTTAGACCGGCCTTTCTAGAGGTTGAGCATGTTTTATGGGTTAGTCAGCGAAAGCGTCAAACTTCGGATAACTTCTGTAGTTGGCGTGCATTCTACGGCTGAACTACCGATGCTCACCAAGCAATAGTTTGCATGAATGTTCTCAATGGAGATTTCGGAGATATATGCTCTTTTGGAATAATAAATGATACACTTATTTCTACTATACAATTGCACGATAATGAAGATTAGTTTCTGCATAAAGTGAAGTGTCTCATAAATGGATAACAGACGCAAAGATCTACGCATTAATTAGCAGTAATAGGTCTCGATTTATAACTACATACTGCTTGGCATCGGATGAATTTCAACATAGTACATTGCGGTGATCCTTGATACCAGAACAAAACATATTCTGTCATCTTGTAATTTATTTATTCTAAGTATCTTGGAGGTGGTGCGTTGGTGGCACAGCAATAGAGTGCTCGCCGACCACGCATGTGGTTCGGAGTTTGATCCTCGGCCGACGCACTCCTTTACCTCGCTAAGCCAGTAACAAGAATGGTAAGAAGGAAAGATTGGGCATGAGGCTAGCAACCCCATCCTGTAAAAATAATCACCACTGCTACGGAAACTTCAAGCCTCTAGCTTGAAGTCTTATGTTCCACTGGGAACTTAAAGGAACAAAAAAAAGTATTTTGGAAGATATGATTTTCAGAAATAGTTGAATATAAGATAAAAGTGGTCATATGTTTCTTAGTGATCTATAATCATATTATGAAGATGGTGGTAAATGGAAATCCATTAAGACAAATAAGATATTTGCCTCATACTTTCATTCACTGCAAATAAGATAACGAGCAGTTCATTCATATTAGAAATTACTTTCATATTAGCGCTTTTGATGTTATAAGGTATGATAGTCACAACAATAGCCATTTGTAATTTTCATGCTAGAAAAACACTGAAACGCTGAATTATGAAACCTATTCATCATTAAATATTGAATATTCACACTGTTAAAATTAAAACAAAAGGTATACTCGAGCAACATTGTCTTCACTTAGATCTACCCTAGGCTTTATTCAACATACATACTTTATATGTATAAAGCTCTCATTTTATTGCCGATATATGGATGATACCTTTATTCTTTGTGATAATGATTCGGATAGGAGTACAATAATTACTGAATTCAATGAAGTACATTCGGCTATGAAATTCACATGCAGAGAGGGAATCCCAAGACAGAATTGCCTTCCTGGATGTCCTACTTACAAGAAAACCAGACGGAAGCATAAAAAGAAATTTGCATAGAAAAAGTACTTGGACAGGACAATATACACATTTTCACAGCTTTTTTCCTTTCAATTACAAAAGAAATTTAGTGAAGACCCTCAGCCACAGAGTTAGAGCTATATGCTCAGAAGAAGTAATTGAAGATGAATTAAGCACTGCATATGATACTTTGATTGAAAATGGCTATCCCAACAAATTTATCAAGAAACATATGACAAAGAAAGCGGAAAAGGACTACTCACTATCTGTAAACAAGAACCCTTTATACATGCGACTACAATTAATGGGCGATATACCAAGCGAGGTAATTACGGAGAAATTAAGAAAATCAGTTCAAAGAACTTTTAATGCTGGCTAAATACACGTATTATTCTCTACACGACCGATGGTGCTACCTCAACTGAAAGATGAAGTACCCAGACTAGCCACTTCAAATTGTATCTATCAATTCAACTGCGCTTGTGGAGCGAGTTATATTGGCCGTTGCTCTAGGAACTTGATTTTTCATGCTCGAGAACATATCCCACCATGGCTAAGTAAAGGTGTAGTTAAAACTATTAACAGCTCGATATTAGACCATCTGGTGCAAACCGGTCACAAAGCCAGCGTAGAAGAATTCTTCTCTATAATATACCGGGTGCCTAACAAATTACCAAAATCATTTAAGCACCGCATGCTCCAAACAGCAGAGGCTATTGCAATTTGCTACAAACAACCAGTGCTGTGTATTCAAAAGAAGCAAGTCCAGCCCCTACTACTGCCCTGGCCCTCAGTAGAAACTATAAACTCATGAATTTGTAATATTATCTTTCCTAATTCTTCTGACATTCAGTTTATTTTATGTTGATGCTATTCAGCTGAAATCTATCAATATTATTGATTCGATGTTATTTAAACATTAATGTCGTTCATAAGACTAATTCATTCATACACTATAATGTATATATATAATTGTAGAGCCTGATGATGAATTTATCGAAAATAGTACTCTTTGTTCCGTGTCAATTCTTATAAAATTTCAACCAATGGCGGCGAAATTGTGGACGGAATATAAGTGTTAAGTGTCGCGATATAGCAGTAATAACTATGATAATAATAATATTAATAATAATAATAATGGTGCCAATAGTATGCATAACTTTAGGTACATAAAATTTATCATCAGAGAGTAAAACCTTAGGAAGATCTAATAGAATACAATATGGTTTATTTAGATATTCTTTCTGAATTTTATTCATTTTATTCAGATTTATTCTTCGTATGTCTAAAATGATTCCAAACAGTTAAGTTGAGACAAGAAAATATAAGGTACTGAAATAATAATAATAATAAATACAAGAACGCGGTAACTTACAGTAACTTGTTTAGAAGAAACTCTCAAATTGTCACCAGCATGTAAAGTAAGCACTTTTGTAGCATTTAAACAGTAAAGTTTGATAGTCACAGAACCATTGAAGAAAGGTCGTCTCCAATTACCTCCGGGTACATTAAATTGAATTTTCAAATTATAAGACTGAGGGATTACATCACTTTGTAAATATTGTCTTTCAGTTGTGTCATCACCTAAACAAAAATCAGAACATTAGATAATAATATAGGTCGACATCATCTCTTGGCCATTTACTGTCAAGATGCAATTAACATAGCTATATCTCGTCGGTGGCGTAGCCGTTGGGACGCTCGCCGACCATGCACATGGTCCGGGGTTCGATCCCTGGCAGGCGCACTCCTTTACCTAGCTAAGCCAGAACTAAAAAGCTGGCGAAGAGGAAAAGTTGGGCATGAGGCTAGCAATCTCATCCTGTAAAAATAAACACTGCTACAGAAACTTCAAGTCACTAGCTTGAAGCCCTATGTTCCACTGGGAACGTGAAGGAATAAAATATCTCAAATAAATGTTTGCAGCGTGTGAAATGTAAGCATTATTTCTAGATCTGGACAGCTTATATCAGTCTATTATAAACCATTACTTTTGTTTTCAAACGTTGTAGTAGTAGTTGTTGTTGTAGTAGTAGTAACAGCCTCTTTAATTTACAAAGATTGCAATCTAGTGTGACTTCACAGGAGTTTACCAGATTTAATTCACTCTTTGACTCATTTTCAGACTAAATAAAAATCATCCTGTCAGAATATGATAAAAGTTGATTCAAAATTCATTTCTAAACAGCTTTAAATTAAACAGTAATTTTGATTATGTGTCCAAACGAAAATTCACATCTAATATTTTGAAAAGAATTTGAGCATTTGATAATTTGATATTTATAGCGATAAAAGCTTTTGTATTTCCCAATGAATGAAAAAATTCAAAGATATTGTGTTTACTAACCTGTTGCTATGTAATGAGAACAGCTAGTATTACTTTATAATTTTACTTATCCGATTGATGAAACTATTAATAAGCATTCAACTGTAATGCATCAGTGAAAACATTGTTGGACAAGATAAACTAAGTCATTACATTTCGCTGGTTCAAGTTTATCAAGGAAATAATTGTATTTTAAAAAATTCAGCTTCATTCATATAGAAATATAAAAGCTTTAATAACAATGAGTAATTGTGACTTGTTTTACATTCAATTTTGATTTTCCTGTTGAATGATTGGACCGGTACCTGTTGTACCAGAGGTGGTACTCGTCACCGAAGTTATCTAGTGGATAAGGCCTTGACGTTTGAAACAATGGATGGTGGGTTCGAGTCTCAGTAAGCGCATCATTACTTACTGAGAATTCAGGCACATCCAGATGATGAGTCTCAAACAGGATGACATGTGCATTCTGGACGCTAGTGCTAGTAACCACCCGCCAAATTACTTCACATGAATAATTCTTTTAATTCAGATATTAAATAAAAAATTAATTTACAGGCTGATATTAAACTTATTTAGTATCTGAATCAGTAATAGAAACACGTCACAACCTGCACTAAGCATGTGTAGTAGAAAGTGACAAATAATACAGATAAGATAATTACATAAATTATAAATTTAATAAAGTAAGTAAAGATAGTGGCACAGCGTCGGTGGCATAGCAATAGAGTGCTCACCGACCACGAAGGTGGTTCGGGGTTCAATCCCCGATCACAGACGCACTCCTTTACCTCGCTAAGCCAGTAACAAAACTGGTGAACACAGAAGATTGGGCATCAGCTTAGCAAACCAAATCCGTAAAAATAAACACCACTGCTACCGAAACTACAAAGCCATAGCATGAAGCCCTATGTTCCACTGGGGACGTAAAGGAATACAAAGAAAGATGAAATCATGAGTGTGAAAGGAAAGTCATAAGGTGCTCGTGTGCAACGGTAATAATACTAAAACATTTATTACATAGTTCCAGTTTCAGCAAGTACAAGCTGAAAAGTTGAGTAGCAAGTAAAGCCAGCAAAAAAAAGAATGCTAAAAAAGTAAATTAACTCAAAGTACATAATAGAAATAATCATTACAGGGAGAAAAATAAATTTAGCAGACAGTAATCAGTCTTTATCACTGAGCTAATGAAAACGACTAGAAGATGATGAATTAACAGATACATACATCCTATATAACAAAATCCAAAGACGTTATGAAATCATACAGAGATTCATATGAACTCATACAGGGCGAAAACAAGTTCAACCAGATATTTTGAAATATACTGAATTAAAAAAAAAGGAGATAACAGCAAGACCAAGGAGTCATCTAATGACGCCTAAATACTCCATGGCGTACAGATGCCTACAAAAGACAAGCAAGGAGGAACTCTCATAGGCAACGAAACAACCAAGAACCTATTCCTCAACCAGTATGATGAAACGAAGTGGAGATGGATTGAACATATGCTGAGAAAACCATTGTGAGACTTCACACGACAAACACCCCATTGTCATTAGAACCTGAATGGGAAAAGTCGAAGTGCATATCCGACGAGGACATGGAGGAGATGGTGTGAAGGAGAAGTGAAAGTGAATGGATAGTCGTAGAGTCGGCTGACTGAGATTCCATAGAACAGAGTGAGATGGAGGGAGATGTGCTGGCGAAGCCCTCCCTATCTTCCACTCCAAACACAAGAATATAACAACACAGTATCAACATTTTAGTCACACTATCGTGAATTAGGAATATGCAACGAGGAAGTCAATATTCACTCAGTCACATATAAATGTAATATAAGCCAGTCAATGTGTAAACAACAACTGTGAAACTAACCTGTGAATATTGAGTGATTCGACAAGAATCCGAGGAGGCCCGCACCTGAAACAGTATCGCCACAAGTAAATATCAGTATTACAGCACTTATGATGGTCAACATATTAAATGGAAATTGTGTCATTCTGAGAGGAGAAGTCATCTTCCCCTTCATAAAGAAATAATGTTGTTAAAAATATTACACCAGAATACGATGTATTTATACTTCCTAAATTTATATATTTGTAAAATGAACTCTTCAAAAAGAATCACAAGACAGAAAGCAATATAAGATTTCTGCAAATGAAACAGCAAGTGTTATAAGTTCACCATTTTTTCCTAAATTCAAAACGTGTCATACAAAGAGGTCATATGAATAGTCTTAATGAAAACTTTGTCAATCACAACCTAAAGTTATGATTTGGGCGACCGATAGAACAATCTAATCTATCTGTTACATTACAGCTAATTGCATGAAATTAGCTATTGACATAGATCTCTCTCTATATGTCATATAGAATGAAGCATAATGTATGCTCATGAGTGCTAGAAGTTAGTTAACATAGACGTCTACAACAGTACCAAATCTGAATCATCTCACTGACAAACAACTTAACATAATTGTTTATCATGTGGTTGAATCATGCTTTGTTTACTCTCTCTCTCTCTCACTCAATTCGAATTGTGTCTAGTAGATAATAATGGACTCGTAGTCCCTGGAGAACGACCATACACTTAAATCTGATTTACTCCAATCGTTTTTTCTATGAGTACAAGCTCGGCTGCATAGTGGGTCCTATGGAGTGTTGGTTCAAGTCTTTATTTGGTGATCAGATATTGAAAACGACTGGTGAACCATCAGGAAATATACACATATTTATTGCAGATTGACTGATGGATTGATTGAGGGAAGGATGATTCTCTAGTGTTTCCATACGGTTTGAAGCAATTTATCCTATAATAGTTACCCAATAATATTTTCATGAGATATCAAATTTCTTCCTCAACATTATATTACGTACATATTTATTCAGTAGTGACTAAAACAAGTATTAAACTACTTGCTACATTCTCATCATGGAGTGGACGAAAGTTATGTTTAAACAAGTACCGTTTCACCCAAATCGACTTCTTTTAGATCCATCTCCCCACTGATCCATAATCTTAGTTAATCTTTAGTGCATTTAAGATTGATAAAGTGTCATTATTCGCCTCTATATATGAAAGGCATCTACTACTCTGTGTTGTATCCTTTTAATCAGAAGTTGCCTTACCTTCCCAAAGTTAGTTGTCTACCTAACTGAAATTTTCACATTCAAATGAATGTTAAGCATTTCTGACACGTCAAAACAACCAACTGCTTTGTAGAAGGAAAGGAAATTTATAATAGATCATTGTTACTTGCGACATAATCACACATAATGACACCTGTCTGCATAAAGAGAATATTCGTTAACAAAGGATCTACATCGAGGGAAAACATGGCTTTCTGAATATTAGTGTCATGATAACACTTGATTTATTCAGAAATATCTTTCTAAAAAAACATCTACTGAAACTCTTTCCAATAGGACCGAATATTCCCACTTGATATTTCGTAAGGTTGAAGGCCTAGGCATTGATGCTACGGGGTGCAGTAGAACGTCGTCCGGATTGTGAGCATTTGAGAAAACAATTTATCAATTCTGTTTCTATTGGTCTAGTAGATAGAATTGTGCCTTATCAACAGTACCCGTACTGAATACTACCATGGGACTGATGATTATTTTACTTTTTCAATCCTGTACATCTTCAGAAGTTCTTCCTATTCTCAGTTTCGTTCCATTTTCGTGAATCGATGAAATTTCGCCCCTTCATCACTTTCGTTCATGATATTGACAAAACATGACTTTATCTGTTCTGAGAATGAGGTGATGAATGCCTATTTCTACTACTGTAATATGCAAATATACGTTACTGTCTGTATCTGCTTATTAAGAATACAAATTTCTCAATACGAAGCACTCCATGCCGCACTTCATATTCGATAAATTTCAGGTTCAGACAACTGCACTTTTTAAAACTTTCCATGTATATATTTAATGGATATGTATGTTCTATTTTAAATATTTGAAGGCCTAAGCAGGTTTGGAAGTTGAGAAAACTTTCTGCATTGACTGACAAGGAAGGACTACTGAGCCCTACAGATTTGATCATACATGAAATAAACTAGACAAAAAGCCGAACAAAGAACATAAGGAACAACGTATACTTTATCAACAATGTAATCAAAAATTGAAAGTAACAACAAGAAAAAATCAAGCCGATTTTAAAGAACACAAAATCTACTGCATGGAACAAGATATAAAATTATTGCGTCCATTGAGGTAAAGGTAGATTAAACACATGACCGTGCAGGATAACAAGAAAGAATGTTACATGTTTATCAGAAATCAATATCAGATAGAGGAAATACTGGACATTTGCTCCAGTTTAACATGATACTCACCAATTATGTGTCACCATTACTCCATGAGAGAGAGAGGTTGAACATGATTCAGACTGGTTGCGAAGCGAACATCTTATTATCATGCTGATAAATTGGAATCCACTGACTGTGAATTCCTCGTACATCGTTATAGTCATCCCATGTCATGGGTAAGCGTTTCTCCTTATATCCGACCTAGTGAATTCCAACAGTCACAGATTCTCACATAAGAACTTTGGGAAATTCACATCAAAACTATCCAACTGTGACAAGTGAATATCAAGTTTAATGAATAATAATATTGATGCTCAACAAACTAAACAACACAAATTCAGATCAGTTCTCATTCCTGCTTCATCCTCTTTCACTTATATATAAGTGCATACTCTCTGAACTTTGTATATATACGGTCATCTAAACAACCAGCATATTAGAGTCCATTGAAATGAAATCATGACGAGGAGAATTCACAAACAATGAATCGTCTCCTCAATGAAAATGTAGAAGCTCATCATTCCAGTAGTAAATCATCCCATAAAGAAGAGAAAATAGAGACGGGAGAGAGAGAGGGAGAGAAAGAAAAACAGTCATTTGTGATCAGAGGGTTTCAAAGTGATGATTAGGTATTCTACAGAGAACTGAATAACCAGCAATTAGTTAGTTTTAAAACCACACGATAAATTACTGTTGTACAGTGAGCTCTCAGTAACAACAAGGAGTCATCTAATAACGCCTTAATACTCCATCGCGTACATATGCCTACAAAGGATAAGCAAGGAGGAACTCTCGTAGGCAACGAACAAACCAACAACCTATTCCTCAAACAGTATGATGAAAGGGAATGGAGATGGATTGAACATATGCTGAGGAAACCGTTGTGAGACGTCACACGACAAACACCACCTTGACATTGGAACCAGAATAGGAAAAGTTGAAGTGTATATCCGAGGAGGACATGGAGGAGATGGTGTAAAGGAGAAATGAAAGTGAATGGATAGTCGTAGAGTCGGCTGACTGTGACTCCATACAGCAGAGTGAGATGGAGAGAGATGTGCTGACGAAGCCCTCCCTATCTTCCACTCCGAACACAAGAATATAACAACACAGTCAATATTCACTCAACCACATATAAATGTAATATAAGCCAGTTAATGTGTATACAACTATGAAACTAACCTGTGAATATTGAGTGATTCGACAAGAATTCGTAGAGGCCGGCACCTGAAACAGTATCGCCACAAGTAAATATGAGTATTACAACACTTATGATGATCAACATATTGAATGGAAATTGTGTGAGTCTGAGAGGAGAATTCATCTTCTCCTCCTTCATAGAAAAGTGATTGTTTTGAACTTCTAGACCAAAGTGCTACCATTTATACCCCGTAGCCCCAACATCTATACATTGAACCAGACTAAGACAATCGGCAAATCAAGAACGAGATACTATATCTGGAAATGAGAACGATTTTCCACACAGATTGTAGTTGACTCACAGTGACACTTATCAATCTCAGCTGTCAAATTGATGATCTGAATGAAGTCTCTGTAAATCGAGGTCTATTGTTTTGAAAACGTTTATGAGATGAAAGGCGACCGACAGAACAATCTAATCTATCTGTTAAAATACAGCTAATTGCATAAAATTAGCTATTGACATAGATCTCTCTCTATATGTCATATAGAATGAAGCATAATGTATGCTCATGAGTGCTAGAAGTTAGTTAACACAGACGTCTACGCCAGTACCAAATCTGAATCATCTCACTGACAAACAACTCAACATAATTGTTTATCATGTGGTTGAATGATGCTTTGTTTACTCTCTCATTCAATTCAAATTGTGTCTAGTAGATAATGATGGACTCATAGTCCCTGGAGAATGATCATACACTTAAATCTGATTTACTTCAATCGTTTTCTCTATGAGTATAAGCTCGGCTGCATAGTGGGTTCTATGGAGTGTTGGTTCAAGTCTTTATTTGGTGGTCAGATATTGAGAACGATAAGGAAACCATAAGGAACTATAAGGAAATATACACGTTTATTAGAGATTGACTGACTCTTCGGTTGCTATTTCTCCAGTGTTTCTATACCGTTTAAAGCAATTTAGCAGATAATGCTTACCTGATAAAATTTTAATTACATTCTGAATTTGTTCCTACAAATTATTATTATTGTTTCCTTTTATTCCTAGAGGAACATAGGGCTTCAGCCGTGCGTCTCCATTGCGTTCGGTTCTCTGCTAGAGTCTTCATCTGGCTCCAAGTCTGCCCACACGTTTTCATCTCCTCTTCACATGACCTCCTCCAAGTCACCCACTCTCGCACTGACGACCAACTCGCCGCTTCCCTTTCGGGTTCCACTCGAGCAATGGCTTGTCTAGTGATGTCACTTGATGGTTTCCTCAGAGTATGGCCAGCCAATCCATCTCCATTTCTTCCTGCCTATTTGTTTCACAATCGGTTCCTGCTCTGTTGGTTCGCTCCCAGAGATCTTTGTTGCTGATCTTTTCTGACCATCTGATCTTGAGTATTGAGCGAAGACAACTGTTAATGAAGGTCTGTAGTTTGTTTGAGATGCTCTTTATGACGCGAACCGTATATGAGCACTGACTTCACATTGGAGTTGAAAATCCGGATCTTATTTTTGATGCCTCTAAATTATACTCAGTGTATTTTCAGCTTGTCCTACTGAAAAGATTTAGGATTGGTAAGTAAACGCTGATTTACAGGAAGCAGTCAGAATTGAAAACAATATTGACCTACGGAAAATCGACAAGTAATGAGAACAGTTCATGATCCGATCACCTAGCCGACATTTAATGTGGTTAAAAACGTATAAATGTGGTGTGTTTATCCTATATAAAAAAATATTCCTCTATCAAATCTCTTGTCTTCTTCCGTTGCTCAAATGCATTCAATGAGGGCAAAAGAAATATTAAACTACTCTGCTGCTGCTACTACCTTCTCATCAAAGAGTGGACGAAAGTTGTCTACAAACAGGTACCGTTTCGCCCGCATCGTCTTCGTGTAGATACATCTCCGCACTTATCCATAATGTTGGTCAGTCATGAGTGCATCTAAGAAAGGAGAACAGCCGTTATTCCCGTTCACATATGTTAGCCAGCTACTACTTCGCTCCGTATTCATTCGATTTGGACTTACATTGGCCTCTGTCAGTCTGTCACAAAAATAGTAATATCGTATATATATATATATGCCTTAGGAAAATGGAATTTCTCAGTTCAGTGTTCAGAGTGATTGAAACATGGTATCGATCGTTGTACCTAGACCACTTCTCACAGTTGTATTTTCACTGTACTTGTGTAGGTATAATAAAGGTTAACTTCTGTCAGTGTGATCTATTATATGCAGTAATGATTTGGTAATTTTGTGGGTTTATTTCTAATGTACTGCTCTTATAGTGTGTTCGCGAACTTCCTTGTAGCTTTTGATGTTTGGGAATGCAATTTCTGATTTGATATTCTGTGGGACTACTAAATATTTTGCCTTATCAACATTACCCCTACTGAATAAACCATGGGACTGAAGAATATTTTACTTTTTCAATTCTGTACATCTTCAGAAGTTCTTCCTATTGTTAGTTTCGTTCCATTTTCGTGAATCGATGAAATTTCGTCTCTTCATCACTTTCGTTCATGATATTGACAAAACATGACTTTATCTGTTCTGAGAATGAGGTAATGAATGACTATTTCTATCAATGTACTTTGCAAATGCTTATTACTGTTTGGTTGTATTTAATATTCAGAAAATCTTTCATGTCGATAATTCGATGTGAATTTAGTGGATTCCAACAGTCACGGATTCTCAAGTATTGGTTTTGTAGAGATTTTGTTTGATTACATGGAGGATTTCATTGGAAAACCTGGGAGTACTGGACAGCTGTTTCATCCTAGTTTAAGACTTTTCAGCAGCACGCACCCACCGGGTTCCAGTGGTTCTCTAACTGATGTCAGCTCATGGTGAAATCCTCCATGCAGTCACATATTCGCACAAGAACTTTGGGAAATTCATTTTGTAGTCATCTTACTGTGACGAGTGAATATCAAGTGTTTTTTTTATTCCTTTACGTTCCTAGTGGGACATAGGGCTTCAAGCTGTAGGCTTAAAGTTTCGGTAGCAGTGGTGTTTATTTTTACAGGATGGGGTTGCTAGACTCATGCCAAACCTTCCCTCTTTTGTAGTCTTACTACCGGCTTAGCGAGGTAAAGGAGTGAGTCAGTTGGGGACTGAACCCGAACCATACGCGTGGTAGGCCAGCGTTCTATCGCTGTGCCCTAGACGCACAAATATCAAGTTTAATGAATAATAATAATAATACTCGACAAACATAACAATACAAATTGAGTATATCTCTATAATTCCTTCTTCATCCTCTTTCACTAATATGTATTTGTTTTTAAATGTGTCATTTTACCACCTTGAGTACTGTTTCTGAGCTTTTTATAAGACAGATAATTATATACGGTTATTTAAACAACCATATTTAATTATATGGTTTGCGTATGTGCTGGATACTATCATTACTGTTTTTGTTTGGATTTGCGTATAGTTATGTGTATCAGTTTTCATTCAACGGCTTTCCACTTAATTCTACATATAATTAAGGTTGAAATAAACCTACATAATTGAAAATTCTGAGTTATTATTATTATTACACAGAAATAAGTATATGTTTAATTATAACAGACTAATTAAAGGCTTTCATCTGTACTTTCCAAATGCTGTATGCTATTCATAAACAAGATGACGAGGAAGTTTACTTTTACTTGTGTTAATTAAAATAAGAATTAAACACTTAATAAATTCGATGGTTTATTCAGTGAAGCTAATGAAAAACAAGTTATTTGTAACTGCTTGGAGTGAATGGAACAGAGACGTTCCGCAACGACTGGTTTCCAAATTATACTGTTTGCCCTTCAGTAATCTTGTTATGGGATATTAGGTGAATTCGAAAAGAAGGGTGAAGTAATTTCTGATTTCAAGGTTAATCAAGAAATAACTTCATTTAGAGAGCGTTAGTAAACCAGGGAGTACTGGACAACTGTTCCGTCCTTGCTTGGTACTCTTCAACAGTACGCACGCATAATCCCACTAGGGATCGATATCCCTGAGAACGAACACTTGAAAAATAATTTCCGGTTGTTAAATAAAGAAATGAACTTAAAGTAAATAGGAAATATAGGAATGTCAAGCCGATTGGGTCACATATCCCAAAATTATGCGGATGCGTTAAAATACACAAACCAGGAGCGCCGTTAAGACCTATACTCTCAATGATAAATTCACCATATCACAAATTAGCACAGTTGCTATGTGAATTGTTGCAGCCCTTGCGAAAACGTTTTGGAACGTACATAATTTCTGATTCATTTCAGTTTGTCAAGCAAATTAAAGATTTCAATGCATCTGATAAGTATCTGGTCTCTTTCTATGTTACCTCCCTCTTCACAAATGTGCCAGTTGTTGAGACTATTGACTTTATATGTAGACAAGCTGAAGACATATCCATTCCAACATAGGAATTGAGGAAATGGTTACTTTTATGTACTAAGAATGTCTGATTCCAATTCGACGGGTGTCTGTTCCGTCAAGCTGATGGTGTCGCAATGGGAAGTCCTTCCGGACCACTTTTTGCAGACTTATTTTTGTCAGGCCTAGAAGTCGATACCTTGCAGAAACATATACAAGAAACGGATGTATACCTAAGATATGTTGATGACATTTTTATTGTATGTGGAAGCAGGTCAAAAGCTGAAGACACGTTGATAAAATTCAACTCATGCCACCCGAATCTCATTTTCAAAAGAGAACACGAGGAAAACGATACTATTAAATTCCTAGACGTTTTTCTAGCGAAAATGACTGATAGCACAATCTAAAGATCTATATTTAGAAAGTTTTCATGGACAGGACAGTACATGCATTTCAAGAGCTTTGTTCCAATCCAGTATAAAAAGAACTTAGTCAGAACAGTGTTCAATAGAGCAAGGAAAATTTGTTCTGACAGTACAATCGAGCATGAAATGAAATCTTTGAAAAATGTTTTATCTAATAATGGATATCCTGAGAAGTTCATTAATAAATACTCTAAGGAAATTAACCCCTGCAAAATAATCCAAACAGTTCCGAAGAAATCTGTCTATATCAGTTTGCCATTCAAAGGAGATGATGTACAGGAAGTAGTCAAACGAAGACTCGATAAAGCTATCAAGAGAACTTATTACGCTGCGAAACTTCTTTTCCTTAACAC